CCACAACTTCTGGAGGCAAGTCGTTCCAGCTAGCCCCATTTGTGTACATAGGACATGCCCAAGACTATGAACCTGAATTTAGCAGAAATGACCTCTGACTTAGAACCAAGGACAGGTGGAGAGAAGACAATAGCATACTCTCATGACTGGCTCTTAGTACTTATAATCTCAGTGTGAACTTTAAAAAAAAATCTTCTAAGGAACAGAAATCATATCCAAATGATGAGCATCCATATAAATAATTATGAATTTCATATTAACTTCAAACCTTTGTCTGCTTCACGATCGCCGTAAAAATTTCCAGCTGTCAACCTAAATTTTCCATAGTTGGATTTATGCTGAGAGACCACCCATCTCTCTTTCCATTTTGCTGTTAACAAAAATGAAAATATTTGTCACCAAGTGGAACTGCTGGTAATAGCAAGGCAGGAACCAGAAACAAAACCAGAGACAGATAAAGCGTACAGTAAATACATAAAGGGCAGAGGGCTAATGATAGGTATAAAAAGTTGGAGTGGATAACACATACATATTATATGATCAAAAGTATTACATACATGTACATATGCACCTATCCCTGTACATGCAGTCATTGCAAATTTGGACAAAAATCAGATTAAAATGACAAGCACTCAACAAGTAAAAAACATAAGACATGGAAATGGAATTCAAGAAGAATGTTTAGATGCTTAATTGTCCTAAAATCAGCAGCGACTCTTTTGATGAAAAGAAATGAGCAGTTAAATACAGGCTACAGCCACAAAAGATTTTTGGTCACCCACAAGACCACTCTTTTTGCAGCAAAATCTTAACATGACTTTCCTGCTGGAAGTGGTTACAACTGCTACAGAGTAGTTGGAAATCATCTATTCAGTAGAGAGAGAAGAAAAAAAAGGAAGTCATAGCTGATTGCAGGGATCATATTATTTTAGAAACATTGTAACAATATGTATGATACTTATTTAATTCTAGAGGTCTGAGTTGCTCTACTATATTATACAATATATCATATACACAAGATAAAATAGAAGGGTTGAACAATGGAGTCCTTGGTGCTCTCTGAGATGGTTGTTTGCTTGCAGACATTTCATCGCCCAACTAAGTAATATCATCAGTGGGAGTAAGTGTGGAGTTTGCTCCCTATTTATATGTAATAGCTTGCTTGGCCAGTTTTGGTGTAGGGTGTTGCTTTCTCCTTAATAGTTCCTTGTTTAGGGTATTATTTTCTGCTTATTTGCCTAGGGTTAATCCTTATTTATCTGGGCTGAGAGGATATGTTTTGGTCTTTTTATTTCCTTCATAGTTTTTTTTATTGTCTCTTGAGTTGTGTGTAAATATGGTTTATTTCTATGTGTCCACTGAAGGCTGATTTGTCTGAATGCTCAACTTCCAGGAATTCCTCAGCGTTTTTGCATTTAGCTTGGTCTAAGTTGTTCAGTTTCCTAATTGAGTCAATTAAAAAGCTAAAAGGAAAAAAAAAGAGAATACATCCTCTCCAGCAGCAAAACACTCGGATAAACTGGGATTAACTCCAGGCAAACAATCAAGCAGAAAACCACATCCCCATCAAAACTGACAGGGAAAGCTACTGTATGTAAACAAGGAGCAACCCATGCTCACTGCACTGATGTTACCTAGGTGGATAATGAAATGTCTGCAAGCAAACAACCAAGCTCAGAGAGCAGTAAGGATTCCACTGCTGTATCATCCTAAAGATCTAAGTGTCAAATAATATTTACACAGTGATTTATTTTTCTTTTGTTTTGGGGATTTATCTATATTTTAATTGGTTGACTATTTTAGCCAATCAGCAAATCCTTTAATAATGAAAAAAAAATCCCTGCAAAATGGAATATGCATGAAAGCTTTTTAAATGAATAAAAACCTATATTGTACTATCTCTGGATGGAGCTGCTGCATATTTGTGTTATTACATTTATGGGTGGCTAAAGATATTGGTTTACAACCTCTACTTTGTCAAATATATTGGCTGACAACTTCCACTTCTCAAGGAAACCTAATTTGCTGTGAAATAACTTGAAACTGACACAAGTAAATGTCATCCATCATTATTTATTCCATAGCCAATAAAGTAGCCATGCTTTTGATTATGATTTAACAAATTCTTGAAACAATAGAACAAATGAAAATTGCATGAACATAATTATCGGTATTCCTAATATTTTGTAGCACACCCTTTTGAGGCAATAACTGCAATCAAGATTTTCTGTAGCTTTGAATAATTTATCACATTCTTCTTGAGCTATCTTCTTCTCTAATTGTCTTAGTCTGATAGCTTTCTCCTCCCAAGAGCTGAGTTTCAGCTCTTTCTATAATATTCTATTGGATTCAGATCAGGATTCATAGCAGACTACTTCAGAACAGTCCAATGCTTGCTTTTCAATCATTCTGGGGTCCTCTTAGATGTACCACATGTTGTGGGGTCATTATCCTGCTGGATGAGCATGACCTATAGCTGAGAGAGTTTTCTTATTTCAATGTGCCCTGAACAGATTCAAGCCCAGGTAACATTATACAGTTATAGTGGTTGGTTGATTGGTTGATTGATTGATGAGAGCCCCTTCCATGTCTTAATAAGAATGGTAGTATTTCTTTAAAAACATTTTTTCTTCTGTAAATATAGAGGTGTTGTGACCCAAAAGCTCTAATTTCCTTCATCTATTCAAAGGAGGTTCTTCTAGAGAGGCTGTGGCTTGTCAACATACATTTTAGCAAACTCCAGTCTGGCTTTTTCATGTCTCTTTTTTTCAGAAGTAGGGTCTTCCTAAGTCTTCTGCGATGGAGCCACTTTCAGTCAGATGGTGACAGAAATCAACCAGGGTCTGTTTTGAAGATCCTCCATTCATTGACCCTTCTGTTCAATCTTGTCAACTTTCCTCTTTCAGCCATGATCCAAGAGTTTGGCTAAGGTGCCAGTGTCTTCAAATTTAAATTTCTTGATAGTATTAACAAGAATGGTTACAGGATCACGAGGCTCTTTGGAAATGGTTTTACAGCCTTTATCATGCTTAGCTATTACTGTGCCTTCTTCCTTTCCTCCTGACAACTTTTAGTTTTTCTAGTCTTTATTCACTAAACTGTACATAATGATAGAAAATGCCTAAGTACTTGTCTCTGTTCAAGCAGGCTGAATGATGAGATGAAAGGCAGCTATGATACTAATGAAAGTAAATAGTTTCCTTGTGATCACTAAAGTCCAGGATCTTTTATCTTTTAATGGTACCAGTAATTAGGTTCACATCATTTTCATGCAATTATTTACAAGAATATGTTTAGTGATCCATCAAAAGCAACGAGTCTGTTCTATTATGGACATAAAATAAAGAATGCATTTACTTCTGTCAGTTTCAATTTATTTTACCATAAATTGGGATTCTTTGAGGAAAAATTGGAGGGGTATCAATACTTTTGACTGTGTCTCTATAACCTTTTTGGTAACTCTCCTTACACAAACTACTGGTATGTGCCAGATTGGGAAGTAATATTTGATCCCGTATCACAGAGGAAACACCATCCCCTCCTTGTCCGCTATATTAATCCTTCCACCTTTTGCACAATATCACATCCATCATATTTAGGCTAAGGTTAACCGTTCTCCAGCCTTTGCAGCCCAGATCCAATGGCTTCATTTACAGGGGCAGGGTGTTTAAAAACCATGTTTACCTAATGGAGAATTTAATGTAAATACTATTTCGTCACTGTTTGAACGTCTTCCCTTTTCATACCAAGCTTTAACATGTAAAAGACTGTGGCTGAGTTCCTATGGCATCCAGACAGGTCAGCAAAGAGCTAGTACAGGTAATCCTCGATTTACAACAGTTCATTTAGTGATCGTTCAGTTACAATGGCACTGAAAAAACTGACTTATGACCATTTTTCACACATGACCATTGCAGTATCCCTACGGTCATGTGATTTATATTTGGCTGCTTGACAACTGGTTCATATTTATGACGGTTGCACTGTCCCAGGGCCACGTGATCGATCCCCTTTTGCAACCTTCTGACAAGCAAAGTCAATGGGGAAGCCAGATTCACTTATCAACCGTGTTACTAACTTTAACAACTGCTGCAATTCCCTTAGCAAATGTGACAAGAAAAGTCATAAGATGGGGCAAAACTCACTTTGACAAATGTCTCACTTAGCAACATAAACTTTGGGCTGAATTGTGGTCATAAGTCGAGGACTACATATATATATATATTTGCACATGTTCAGTGTGGCTATTAATTTTGGTTGGGTTCTTATGACTCAGCATGTTGCCCGAACTCAACTCCTAGGCTCATTTGTAGTCCAAATGGGCAACCCTTTAAATGGCTTAAGGCAGGTGTCAGCAACCCGTGGCTCTGGAGCCGCATGTGGCTCTTTCGTCCCTCTGCTGTGGCTCCCTATCCACCACTGGCTGCCCCCCCCCCTTGCCCTTCCCTTCCCTTCCTGTCACTCCTCGCCTGGCCTGACAGAGAGAGGGAGATAGAGAAAGAGACACAGAGAGAGAGATACCTGTTTCCCACAGAAAACACTGGGAACCACAAAACCTGGGTGGGCGTGGCTGAGGGGTGTCATGTGACTGGGTGGGAGTGAGTGATGTCGAGTTGGCCACACCCACCCAGGTTTTGAGGCTCCCGGTGTTTTCTTTTCTGTGGGAAATGGGTCCAAATGGCTCTTTGAGTGTTTAAGGCTGGCTTACGGAATCATTTCGCCCCAGTGACTTGCCGACCTGACCCCGCCCCTTGCCCCGCCCCTGCTGCTGCCACCACCTCCGTCCAAAAACTGCTCCCGGAAATAGACCGTGCCATGGACTGGCAGAGGCAGAGCTAAAGCCAAAATCAAGGTGAGAGATCCCATCGAAAGACAGCAGAGAACAATCATTCCTGAGGTAACGGCTGCCGGAGGCCAACTCCCTATTCCACGCGCATTCAGAAATTCGCTCCTAATTGCTTATTTTCCCGCCTTTTTCGTCGGGGAGGGGATGCTCATTGGGTGCCGTTAGGCGTCCTTTCTCTGATTGGTTTTTTGCATTCGAGCGCCGCCCCTCGCTAACTACTAGCGCATTGGTTCTTACGCGACGCTGATTCGCTATCGGTTTTCAACCTCCCGGCCAATGAGGGAATCCTGTTAGGATGGCTCTGGACGAATCAGGATCGAAGATAGTGGTATGTGCAGTTGCTAAACAACGCAGCGCTGGGCCGGGGAGAAGGACGCGTTCCTGCGGGGCTATGCGGAGGGGTGGCCGGCAGCAGTTTACTGGGGCCGAGGCCCTCCTGGCGGGGAAGCGGGTCGTCGCGAAAGGGAAGCAGGTGACGGTGACGAAGCTGTTTTACCTTTAACGTCCATAAATAAGCACACTGTATGTCTGTTCTAAGTCTAAAATCTTAAACTTGATTTGTAGGAGCAAGAAGGGATTGGCCAGAGCAAGCCGACCATCCGGGCCTCCAGTAACAGCACTCGCTGTCTTTCCGTGATCCCCACGGACAGTGACCTGAGTAACCTCTCCAGCTCGAAGAGTCCTCGCGCGGGAAGGGAAGAACCGGAAGATGTGGGTCCTGCTGACACCACCCGACTGGCACAGCCTGGCAGCCGGTTCCTCAAGCAGAAGCCACAGAATGTGGAGGTGGACATCCAGCAAGCGGGGCTCGGTCCCGTCACGAGGGTGGGACTGGGTGCTGACTCCAAGGGGAGATCAAATGCCATCCTCAAAAAGTTGGCACAAATAGAGAGCAAGATCCAGAGCCGGAAGACTAAACAAAGCATAGAGCAGATACCTGTGATGGATGTTGAACTCTCATTGAGTGAATCTAGTAAGGATTTTGAATTGAGGACAGGCGGTCTGAAATTCCTGAAGAAGCCAGCTAGATTGAAGGAGAGTGTCAAAGCTCAAACGAAAAATGTGACTCTTGCAAACACAACTGGGGATAGTGAGGAAGATGCAGATAGATACAGACAAGAGGTTCCCCAAAAACCCAAAGGACAGGAAGATAAATTCAAATTCCAACCCAACGGAAAGGTAACCTGAGGTCTTTTTATCTTGGTGATTTGGACTGATAGCTGTTGGTGAAGAGGAACTTGACCCAACTTGCATCTCCATGTTTATTTTTCTCAAAGTTGGAACTTGTTGGCAAGTACAGATAATCCTCCACTTAACTGAGCCCAAAATTTCTGTTGCTAAGTGAGAATTTTGTTAAGCGAGTCTTGTCCCATTTTACGACTTTTCTTGCTACATTTGTTAAATGAATCATTACAGTTGTTAAATTAGTAACACGGTTGTTAAGTGAAACTGGTTTTCCCATTGACTTTGTCAGAAAGTTGCAAAAGGTGATCACATGACCCCAGAACAGGGGTGAAATGCTCCCAGTTCGGACCGGATCACTTGATCCGGTAGTGATGGCGGTGGGTGGTTCGGAGAATCGGTAGCAAAAATCCCTGTGCCCCCCCACCATGCTCAGCTGAGTCGCACAATCATCATATTTCTCATATTTTTACTTTTAAAAGCATTTTTTCTACAACCTCTTCCGACGAAAAAAATGCTTTTAAAAGTAAAAAAAAAAAAAAAGCCTTCTGAGGTCACGCCGCCCCGCTGGGGTCGTTAGGGGGTTTTCAAAACATTTTTTTTCCCACATCTTCTGTCAAGAGGGTGTAAAAAAAAATGCTTTGAAAAGCCTCTGACGATCCTAGCTGAGTTGCCTAATCGGCAGAGGCTTTTCAAAGCATTAGAAAAAATGCTTTGAAAAGTTAAAAAAAAAAAGTTGGCCACACCCATCCAATCACATTACGTACCCCCACCAAGCCACGCCCACGGAACCGGTAGTAACAAATTTTACATTTCACCCCTGCCCCAGAACATTGTAACCGTCATAAATGTGAGTCAGTTGTCAAGCATCCAAATGTAAATCACTTGACCGTGGGGATGCTGCAATGATCATAAGTGTGAAATATGGTCATAAATAACTTTTTTCAGTGCTGTTGTAATTTCAAATGGTCGCTAAATGAACTCTTGTAAATGGAGAACTTCCTGTATGTGGTCTGACTCATCCATTTCATGGCTGAGGAAACTCTCTAGACCTGAAAATTAAAAATTTAGAACACTATGTAATTTTTTTCTACTGATCATGGATTCTACAGCTTAGATTTCTCTATTTAAAAAATTTGAACATAATATTTGGAAAGCTGATGATCCAAAGGCACGGAGCCATTTATTTTAAAAATCAAATGTTACTAGTAAGGATTAGCTGCTTCAGGTAGGAGCTTTTTGTCCCAGTTTTCTTCAGATACAATCCTAAACACACTCATAACTATAATGTTCACAGATCCTTTATGTTTTGTTTCATCTAAAAATACTTCTATTGCAAATGAATTACTTTGAAGACATTTATTTTGGAAATATGGAAAATGTTTAGTTCTTTCAATATTACAGAATCCCAAAATTAGTAAAATATCCTAATCATCTTTCCTTCCCTCCCTGCTTGTTTCCCTTCCTTTGCATTAATTCATCCTGATCCAGTTGCCACCAGAGACGTCTTCCAATTTAAGATCTCTGCCTGAAGAAAGTCAAGTGAACAGACCTCTATATCTTTCTCTCTACTCACCAAACAGGGATACAAGAGCAAGCCATATAGCTTCTTGTTCCTCCTCTCCATCTATGAAAGATAGTCCAGCAGATACCTTATCCCATAATAGGAGCTCCAACTGCCAGAGGAAATCTCTTTCTGAACGGAGTATCATCCGATCCTTGGATGAGTTGTTCTCAGAGGTGACTGATATACACAATGATATTTCCAGCAACAGTGGTGAGTTAAACAGATCACTTTGTGATGGCATGCTCTTTGGAGGAGTAAAAACTTATTGTGGTCCCGAAGTTGCTGAATTGTAATTTTCTGTATTTGGGTTCAGCAAACTTTGGAAGACTACTAAATTCCCATCTGTGTTTACTATACAAAAAGTAAATAGATTAGTAAACCCATCAGTTGCCCAGAGTCTCTGGAGAAATAGCACAACTGACCTTTAGGATTATTTCTTTTAGGAAAAGGGGCATCTCAAAGTAAAAGATAAGCAATAGTATTTAAAAAGAATGGGAAATGGTTTGACATTTTTCTCCAAAGGTTGTCCTTGGAGTAACAGGTACTGGTAGACTTTGGTTTACATCCATTTGTTCAGCAATTGTTCAGTTACAGCAGTGCTGAAAAAATAGACATATGACCAATCCTTGAAATTCTGTTACCTCCGTGGTTGTGTGATCACAATCCAGGCATTTGTGTGCCTGGTATGCAATTACAAAGACAATCCATGAAGCCTTGCTTGCTTGCTTTGCTTCCCACAAGCAAAGTCCTTGGGTTAAGTCCCCCTAAATTTTCTGCACATTCACCATGCCATGGTGGTGCAGTGGTTAGAATGCAGTACTGCAGGCTACTTCTGCTGACTGCCTGCAGTTTGGCACTCTGAGTCTCCAACCTGGCAGCTCCAGGTTGACTCAGCCTTGCATGCTTCCAAGGTGGGTAAAATGAGGACCCAGATTGTTGGAGGCAAGATGTTGACTCTAAACCGCTTAGAGAGGGCTGTAAAGCACTGTGAAGTGGTGTATAAGTGCTATTGCTATACCCTCCATGGAAAAGCCTTCTTGCATTTGCGCAGGGCTGCACTTTCCACCCCATGACCTTCCTGTGCTTACATAGTACTATAGCACTCCTTCCCTGGTTTCTCTTGTGTGTACCCTATGCCTGAGTTCCCCCAGCCCCTGCAGCACCCCCATGCTCCTTACTTGGATTCCTACTACTTCCCACTTAACAACCTGTGCTCCTTGGGGTTAGAGTGGCAACCGGGACTGCTTGGATTGTCACTAAATGCTGTTAGCATAAAGTATGTATGCTAACATCATACTTTACAACCACAGCAATCCCGGTCCCATCATAACCTGAGAACTAGCTGTACTATAGAATTATGAAAATTACATGAATTTTATGCAATATATTTTCTGGCACTAGTAACATTTCCAGGACTGTATTGAGTTCTCAGAAAACTAAATTATTAGCATTGCAGTTAAATCCTATGCATAGTTTTGCTTTGGTCTTTCCTCCCAGTTTTGAGCTGTGACTTACAAAACATGGCTATAGAAATTCTTCAGGAGAAAAAAAGCAATTGTTGAAATGCTTTCTGTGGAAATCATGACAAAAGTGGCAAGATATAAATAACATAAGGTAGGATATGAATTCTATCACTAGATTACCCTAAGTGATATTTCTTGTTCCTGTAGATTTCAGAGTGAATATTTTGAGCCTGGATGAACTGGAACCCTGCCAGAAAACAGAATTAAAAGAAGAGGTAAAGCAACTCTCGTGTTTTCAATAGGTATTGGTCTGTGTCATCCTAGGGATCCTTTATTAAGGAAGCAAAGATTCTGGACTGTTGGGTCATAATTGTTTTCTGCTAATGCTATCAGAAAAAAGCAGTCTTGTTCTGACTAGCATGTAAGGATGGAGGAATCTGTAACATCTGTTCATTTGTTCCAAGATAACTATTGCAAGGAAATATGTTCTTTTTTGCTTGCTTAGCTTTCATTTTGTGCTGCAGTCTTGACCCATGCTGATAGAAAAACATCTTTCTCAGGTAATACAACCAGTTGAGAAGTCAAACAAGAATTTAGGAGGAACAGTTCTGTCTCCTGCTAATCCTCAAAGCCTCTTTAAAACCTCAGCTGTGTCCTTGGAGGAAGAGGAAAACCTGGAAGAAACTGAGATATCTGAGCAGCTAAGCAGCAGTTCTGTTGGATATTCCCCCTGCAAGGAGGAAAGCCTCAACAATACCGAGTATTCTGAAGATTTTGAGCCGTCATCATTTTCTCCCACATCTAAGGAAACAGGAGAATCGTCTTCTGAAAAGTCAGATGACCTTTTGGGTGCCACAGTTCATTCCATCCAATCTAATTTATCTTCTCCCTGCTGCCTTTCTGTGGCACCCAAGTGCACCAAAGCCATAAAAAAGGTAGAGGTGAAAGAAGCAGCTGTTCAGGCCGGTTCCTTCTCACTTGCTTATCATAGGTTACAATGTAAGTCAATCAACATGCGGTGGATTAAGATGCTGATTGGTTTTTAGAAATGGTGCAGTTGCCTCAGCCCCTCTGCCATAAAATGTCTTCTTTTCCTTATCCCATAGATGATATTCCTGCTGTTGTTGGCCATGCAATACAGCAAAGTTCTGCTGAAGCTCCGTGTATTAGCAGCCATAAATTGAACATGGAAGTCATAGAAGGTAATACCTCTCGGACGCCTGATGAGCACCATCCCTTATTTTAGTTAACTTTACAGGATGGCGTATGCCTTGAGTGTCCCGTTTGTTCCTCATTATGGAACAAAATTACATCATTATGGAACTGTTACCGTTCCTCATGATTGGCCATTGTCATTTAAGTAATTTGTAATGTAAATGAACTTCATTTTAAAACCCCTCATGTGTCAACCTGGTGCATTCTGCAACCCTGATTATACCTGAAATCCTCTTTAAGTGAAGGTAGCAGGAATTGAGCCAAAACTTGCAAAGTCTGAACTCCATTGACACACATTTCCTCCCTAAGGGGTGATCCCATCTGTAGAAATTGCCAGAAGCAAAAACATCTTAGATTTGAAGCATATCTGCAATCAAACTGCTTTTCCCGAGAGACCTAGTTATAGCCAGTCAGAGCAATTAAGCTATGCTTGTATCTTTTTGCCTTCTGCAGCTCTGTCGGTGTACAATCCATCTATTTCCGCTTTGAATAATATGTTAAAGCAAAACTTGCTGCTTATTCAGCAGTCCATAGAGATCAATCGACATCTTCATGCCTCCTTTGTGGCATCGCTGGAAGAGGAGGAATACCGCTATCACACCTTGGAAGAAGCCAAAATGGTAATTTTTGTAATCCCTAGATTATGTGCACTTAAAAAGTGCACATAAATCTATTTTGCAGATTTTCAAAGCTAAATTTATTGTTTTATTCTTGCATTTTGAAACTGTGACATTAAAGATCCAGAAATGGAGTCTTAAATAAAAATGTAAATAATGTTGCAGATACTTAAGTCTTCCACTATCATCCATTCTTGAGATCTAAAGGGCTGATCTAGAAAGGTTTGTGTATCCCACATCTAGTACTTAGGACATGTATGGGAAATATAGTAAAGGGATGCCTTTCGTAATAGTCCCTATCATTTAGGTGAATTAACTCAGTTGCTGCATCAGTCATAAAACAAAACCTATTTTAGCTTTTGAGAATCGCTGACGGGCCAAGCTTCAGTAACAATACCTGCAATTTTTAAGCGGTAAATTTCAGCTCATAAACAACAAATTTTAAATAACTGAAATCCGTACTCTCAAAAAGTGTTATTTCCAATGTCTTTTTTGGTTTGGTTAAAAATAAAACCAAATTTTTGTGTACATAACAAAACAAAACAAAAAGGAAAAAGGTATGAGTGTGTTAAATTGTTCCAAACAATTTAATATTAACAAAAATTGTTCATTTTTTACATTGCATTTGTAGTCTCCATATTCCAATGTTCAATAATATGTAACAGTTAAGGTTGCTGCTTCAATCAAATCTAGTTTAAAGTTTGCTTTTATTTTTTACAAACGATCTGTATTATTTTTTTTAAATGTAGGGAGAGAGTATGTTCATGCACAACGCTATTTAAATCTAGTCTGCTTAATGGTGATGAGTGAGTTGTTCGTAGGAAGCCCAAGTTAGTGTTGAGGATCAGGGTAAAAATTCTGGTTCTAGTAATGGACTAGATGAGATCTGACATTTTCTTAATGGGTGGTTTGTTTAGGTCAATTTTTCTCAACCCCAGGAACTGTAAGGTGTGTGGATTTCAACTCTCAAAATTCCTGAGCCAACATGAAGTCTGCACATCTTAACAATCACTGAGGCTGAAAAACAACTGATCTAAACATTGGTTTAGTTGTTCTGAAAGAGGTTTTGAAAAATAGTGCTCATCTCAAGGCATATTTTTAGATTAGGGATTGGCAACCCATGGTGGCAATATGGAATCTCCCCATGATCCCATTTGCCATCTCCAGGAAGGATGAGGTTAACCAGTTTTGCCCTACACCAGTTGCAGCCAAATAAATGAAACCAAATCATACCAGTCATGACCTGTATGTACACTCCCAATAAAAAAAGTTGTGTTTTAAAGCTTTTTCTTAGGAGGAACAGGTGTCCTCCGTAGCGCATAGTACCTGTAGTTTACACTACTGTGACAATTACAGGACTGCTGGAATATATAATTTGGTTTCAGGCTGTACCTTGGTAATCCTTTGCCTTGATTACATGCAATACATTATGCATGTGTCTGCCTCTGAGGTAGTTTGGAAATTTCTTAGCACAATAGAGAGTAATTGAAACTAGGCTGTTAATAGTTTCATATTGAATTAATTTTACATGATCTTTATTGGGTCAAAAATTAATTTCTGGTTCCAATTCAAAGTGCTGTTGTCCTGTAGGAACAATAGGAATGTTCCCAAATTTCTTAGCCAAACTTTTAAGGATGAGTTGGGATAAATGACTCACCTGAAGCTTTGGAATGTATTATCCAGCAAGGTACTTTAGACACACATCTTTCCAGTGCAAAGACATTGTGTTACACTTGAATATTTTATTTTTTTAAAAAACTGATATTAATAATTTACATTGGAACGTTACTGATAGTCTCCTATTATGTTGTTATAGTTTTAGATCCTGCATAGCTTCATTAATTTTATATTTGTGGTTTCAAAGTGCTGCAATCTTAGTTTTGAAGATTGGCAGAATTTTTATTTTTTTAAAAAATACATTGATCTAGTTTTATCCTTTGATATTAAAGACGATTCTAGGATATGGCTGCAGCATCAATATATCTTCCCATACAGAAATTCATAATTCCAAGCGCCCCGATTCAGAGTAAAGAAAGCTGTGGGCATGGAGTGTTTTGGTACATTATCTTGTTTTTATCCCGCTTCGTTTCTTGCAGTATATTCAACAGCACAAGCCCCTGCCTTTGACCATGGAACAAGCCTTGCAAGAACTAAAAGAATATGAACAAATGGCTTCTTAAGCTCATAAGTGCTTTTCAGGCCTGATAGACAACCACAAAGAGGCTAAAGAAATTATTTCTTCAGTCAAGCACCAAGTCTTGGGAATCACAACTTGAAATATGCATTCAACTGGATTTTTGAAGAGAAACCTCAACAGAGATAAGGAATGACTCCTCTTTACCACATTTTGATGTAATTATGCAATGTACAATTCAGTGCTGCAAATTAAAGTCAATCTCTAAACTTTCCTCTACATCAAATGAATAGTATCAAATGAAACTGAGAAAATATTCTGTTGCTGCATCGCCTATTAATAAATCCCATCCTTATATAGAAAAAAGTTTTTATTGGAAGGCAACAGTAAATACAAGATGGTAGCTGACTCATGACAGAAGGGAGTTGAAATATGAATAAATTTCACAGCTACAGTAAGTCAGTCTACAACAGTTGCTACCTTATGTCAAAATGGATGGCTCTGAAAGAACAATTCTATTAGACAGGGAGGAAAATGGTTCTTTCAGTTCGCTCAGGGCAAGCCTTGGATCACTTAGAACTGCTGGTCTATGGGCACCCACAGTTACAAAAGATGTTTTCAGACAGGGCTTCTAGGAATGCTTCGTATTTTGAAACAAGGAAATGTGATGGTGCTACAGATGAGTCAGTCTACAGCACTCCTCTTAATTCTTAAAAGGATATATACAAAAATATAAAAGGCCTAAATATTTTTTTTTTCTTGTTACAAATCCTTAAACATCTAGAAGGAACTATTGAGTGGTTAAGCCCTCTGTTCTGGATGGAGCTGTGATGGCTGCAGAGGGGTATCTTGGGGATTTAGAATGTACAGTAGATTCTTGATTCATTTGCCCAGTACTTGGTAGCTATCTGGCTTCCTCCACTTGAAACACCATTAGCCTTTAGGAGAAAAATATAATTGTCAGAAAAATATAAATTGTGAATCGGGGAGCTTGAGTACGCTTCTGAAATGATCAACCCCTTAATGCGCTAAAAAAAAGTAGTTTCACACTTGAAATGAAGTTTTGATTTCAAAACGTTTTGCATACACATGCTATTAATTTATATAGCCAATCCAAAGGGAAAGATTTGCTATTGGTTTACACTGCCTGCAATTTCAACGCATGCAGTTGTTACTGGGTGTCTTTCAAATACACCCAAGCTTAAGCCAAACATTAAGAATTTAACATTATTCTTAGAAAGGTAGATACTTCCTTTTTATTCTTTTAAATATGCATACACTACATTCAAAAAGACAAAAGATGGTTCACAGCAGCACCTTGCTGTGCTGCTTGTTAAGCATTGGTACCAAAAGCAGCCAACACATCTTCCTAAAACAAGAATTCCCTTTTAGCCAAAGGCTTGCTAACCTTATGGAAACTATCAAAAAATTTATTTGCCCTGATTATTGTTAACCTGCTGAAGTGGGCACTTACTTTCATCTCTGGCCTTCATACGAGCAATAAAGGAATAGCTTTTGTTCCTGCGATAATTCTCATAGGGATCATCTAGGGATACTCCCACACCCTTATACTGATCCCATTTGTCTCTGATATCCCCTCCTTTAATAGGGTCCTGGATCCCTTGTTCCTTGGCACCCAAGCCCCCAGATCCACTCCATCCTGAAAAACACAGAATAGCATGATCAAGCACACAAAAATGTTCCAGTTGCCAACCAACAGAATCATGTCTATGTGTTCACTTCCAGTCATTCCAGACCAATTTTGCTCACTTCATGTACAGATCTGCCTCAGGAAAATTCTTCCAGCAGAGGAAATCCTGTATAAAGAAGTAGATTCAGGACCCTGGATAAATATTTCACAAAGTAGGCTAGGAAAATATTTGGAAGACTTAGGCTTTTTGCAAGACTAGAGTAAGACTGCAATTCTTGCCGTACAGACATTATTGACAAAATGCAGCCAATGATTCAGATGGGCCTAGATTCACTCATCCATGGTTGAGTCAATGGGACATGCAAACCATTCAACTCCTTAAGCATGTTGTTGGAATCTTCCATATCAAATATAGTGTGCCATTTTCTTACAGAATTAAAAATTTCAAGTTACAAAAGATTTGAAAACTGCAGCTAAAGATTGAGCATGTTGTGCAAATCTTGGTTCAGAGAAACTCAACACTTCTGTTCTCAACTCAATTGGAAATGAAGTCCCCAGATTCTTTGTACATATGGGTAATAGATACATTGGCCGAGAATTCTGGGAGCTGAAACCTCAACACACGTGTGGGAAAGCAGTGATTTCTCCATACAGGGAATGCATTTGGAATGCTGCCAGAGAGAAATAGGCAGTCTTTCTTACCCATTTTCACCAGCATCTGATGTCCTTTATTCTCCTCTCCAAGTCTGGATTCTGGTATGGGAGGTCCTGAGCTGGAGCCCAATCCAGCTGCAGAGCTACATCAGTAAGCAGAATATAGTAAATCAGACCTTTTATATATTCTTGGTTAACACTTGCTGAAGAATGACTAAATGAAGACAGCAACTATGGCAATGGCAAAGAATCTACATAGGATTTTTTTTTTTAAATAGAGTTTTAACTACTGTGTTAGATAGTTCCTCAAACATTTCAGCCTTTTGCTCCCTTCTGACCAAAATCTTTGCAGAATGAACAAGTCAAATCTTACGGAGGTGTCTGACTGCGAGATCGAGACCGGCGCCGCCTACTAGGGGAGTAGGATTTTGATCGGGACCTGGAGCGGGAGCGACTTCGTGAAGAGCGGGATCTGCTCCTACTCCTACAAAATAAAGAGGTGAAAATTAGTTCCATTCTATAGACCAGGGGTCTCCAACCTTGGCAACTTTAAGCCTGGCAGACTTCAACTCCCAGAATTCCCCAGCCAGCTGCTATAGACTACAAATGTACATTGTATGTTTCCTGATTCCCCCCTACCAATAAGGAAAAGCCTTGGAAAAAACCTTGGATTTATTGACTGATACTAAGGAAGTAATCAGAAGGTATCTGTCAGGCGTCAAAGACCAGATCCACACCTGAAGGTTCAGTGAAACTGATTTATTCCTAAAAGGAATACAAATAGTGAAGGCCCCTGGACTGAAAGGCAAAAACGGAAGTAGTATGTTCAGTCTCATAGTTGGGTAGACTAGACTGCCCTGATAGAGGGGTCCCACTGGAGAAAAAGCACTTAATCTCTCCCCTGGTATAGGTGACAAGGTGAGGAGAACACGTGACTTAGAGGTTAATACATCTACCTAATAGGCAAGCATCCCGGGTTTGAATCCCAGAAGGGTATGGCTAGCTGATGAGAGCTAAATAGCTTGAAATAGATCTATATTAGTCTCCCTTTATTTCTTTGTCGGTAAAACATAAATTTAACACAAGAGCTACAACTTAAGACAAACACCACTTCTGTAGTTTTCCAACAATAACATTCAAGCTCCTTAGGAGACAATACAGAACGGTACAATCGCTAGCCAAACAGAAAAATCTTCCCAACCGTCTTTTTCTAAACCTAGTTCCCCCCCCCCAATTTTTTTTACCTGGACTGAGACCGAGAGTAGGACCTTGATCTGGAACAGGATCGAGATCGAGACCTTGAATATGAGCCAGAAGATTTTGAAGATCTTGAATTGGAGCGGGAAGAAGACCGTCCTCTGCTTTTAGACCTGCTGCGGGATTGTGAGGGGCCACTGCACCGGCAAAAGGAGGAAATAAAAATGCATCTTTAACTGATACTGAAAAAGCAGCATGCAGGCATATCTAGCAATATGAATGCTGGAAGTGAATCTGAATTTAAAATACGATCCAGTCCTGATGCACATTCATAAGCAAGCAAAAAAGATAAAAAGCTTCGGAAGGTGAAATAATTGATACTTTTCACAATCCTGTAAACTTTGTTAATATGAGATGGGTTTACATGCCAAGTGCTTGCCAGCCTAAAATAAGGTCACATTGATGTTTTGAGAAAGTGTTTATGATTGAGATGCATTCTGCCTATCTGTAAGTAAATTTGGACCTATGCAAAAACAACTTTCCACATTTATGCGTCACATATACTACAGTACTGTACAGTACTGTACTGACTACTGAAAATTCAATGTTGCCTATGAGGTTTTGTACTTTCACTAAGATAACATGAATGAAATGGCTACCTGTTTCTTTTCTCTTGTCCTTTGCGGCGCCGGGCTCGCATCTTTGCTCTAAAGAACTCGTACAGTCCATTCTGCTCCCAGCCCTCACTGAAATAAGAAAACAAGTAGAAAAAGGGGAATGGGGAGAGAGAAATTAGTTTGCCTGCTTGTTTGTTTATCAAATGTATTGGCTGCCTATCTTACCGTAGGGTAACTCTGGGTGACTTACAATATTAAAAAATAAATAGAATGCTACAAAACTATAAAATATACAAAATAGAACAGTTAAAAGATGGGTGGAGTGGAGGTGGGATCTGATATTAATCTATAAGCCACCTCCAACACAAAGTCCTTCCTTTAGAGCACCAAGCCAACTAGGCAATAGCAATAGCACTTAGACTTATATACCACTTCACAGGGCTTTTACAGCCCTCTCTAAGCGGTTTACAGAGTCAGCATATTGTCCTTAACAATCTGGGTCCTCATTTTACCGACCTCGGAAGGATGGAAGGCTGAGTCAACCTTGAGCCTGGTGAGATTCGATCTGCCAAATTGCAGGCAGTCAGCAGAAGCAGCCTGCAATACTGCACTCTAACTACTGTGCCACCGCAGCTCTTATAAGCAGAGCAGAGCCAGGTCTTTAGGCTCTTAAGGAAGATCAGGAGGACTGGAGCTGACCTGACTCCAGGAAGTCAAGATGTTCCAGAGGGCAGGTGCAAAAGCAAAGAAGGCCCTTGTGGACCTCACCAGACTCTACTTCTGTAAAGATGAAAGTTCATGGCATTTCCTGCTGTAATCTGATAATGCTAACAGTCTAGAAATTCTCCAGATTTGGAGCAGTCGGAAATCAAAATGATCAAGAAGACTGCAGAATCCGTGGAACATGTAGGCCTAACTCAATCTTTTTTACCTGTTTCTTGGCCTATCGTGGGATGGGGGACTATAAAAGGCTTCAACTGCAGCCAGTAATCTCTCACTGGGAGGCATCGGAGGGGGCAGGCGGATGTCCTTGGGATCCAAAGGCTTGTATTCGTGATCTTCCAGCTAAAAGGAAAAAAAAAATCATAGACTCAAATGAGGCACTTGTAAAAACTGGACCCTTAAAAAAAAAAACACCACCTTGCAGTGCGAACGGAGCTAAATGTCTGGTAACTGTCGCAAGGAGAAGTCACAAGTGGAAACACGTTACCTGGCATTAAAAGAAGCTAGGTTCCTAACACTGATTAATTATCACCTTGCCTCTCCTGCAACCATTCAGGAGAAACATTCATATGCTTCTGACAAAGCACAAGTTTCCCTTGGAGAGCCCATAATCCAGTTGTTCCCAAATCAACTATTGAAAGCACTTACTTTGACAAGAGGAGCCATGAGTCCAGCAGGAAGATCGAAGTAAGGGACGTTTGGCACCAGGCTGGGGTCATCGTGATTAACGTGAGGTGGCCCCTGCCTGCGCATGTGAGGTGGCTGTCCATTGAAGCCATGGGGAGGAGGTCCAAAGTCAGGATGCTGTGGCCCACCCCACGGAGGGTGTTCACTTATTCCAGGATGTGGCATGCGGTGCCCAGGGTGGTGGTGAGGCGGTCCAATTTCTGGAAAGGAATATGAGAAGTTCAAACTTGAAATGACTCAAGGCAGTCTTTTTGAAAAGGGACTTATGCAAGTAACAAGAGCAGGGCAGAGGACACAAACAGACAGGAATCCTTTTTTTCAGTCCAGAAACAAGGTTAGAAAATGGAGATACATTCTTCCCAACCTTACCCCACCTGAGTTCTTCACACACATCAAAATTGTCACACAAAGGTTAGCTAAACCAGAGAGTCTCCAACCTCGGCAACTTTAAGACTTGTGGACTTCAACTCTGGGGGTTGAAGTCCACAAGTCTTAAAGTTGCTAAGGTTTAGAGACCCCTGAGCTAAACTATGACTACTTTCCTCGGCAAGGATTTATAAACTCAACTTGCCCCAATAGCACCTGCAGGATTTCAAGGGCCTTTTCCAACAAGCCCTGTTTCAAATAGGGTGCACAAAAAGAGGGATCAGAACAGCTAACCTGTAAAGAAATAATTCATGCAAGGACAGAGAATAAGAAAGAGGACAGCTGGTGCAGGACAATCACTGATCAGCAGATTCAAGCCAATACCCGGAAGTCAAAATTCTAGGCCAAGCAGATCAGTGGACTGGGCTTTATTAATAAAAAGAGCCCCTCCTATCCCTTTGGGGCTGAAAACAGCAACTTCAGCATTTCTTCATACATTATAATTGTTGCAACGATCAGTTTTTAAAAGCCCACCACTTCTGGGCAATGATGAAAAGGACCCTGGTTTTGTTTTAAGGGGGTAGAAAAACCAGTGACCACAAGCATCTATTTCAATGTTTCTCAACCTTGGAAGCTTGAAGATGGATGGACTTCAACTCCCAGAATCCCCCAGCCAGCAGCGCTGGCTGGGGGATTCTGGGAGTTGAAGTCCACCCATCTTCAAGCTACCAAGGTTGAGAAGCACTGATCTATTTAGAAAAGCCATATTTTACCAAAAAGGTATTCAGAATCTTAAGTAGGAACACGCACGTGCCTCCTTTTTCATTTTTCAGAATGCGCTGCTTGTGAGCAGACTGAGGATTTCTCAAATAGGCAAAGAATTTTAAAGGATCCCTTGTGACAAAAACCGAATACCACACCAGTATAGCAATCAAGACTATAACCCCGTTCTCCCCAGCCCTACTATCCACTCACCTTGAGGGAAATCCCCCTGAGGATAGTCAAAGCGATGGGGATATGGAGGCCGTTCGAAGGGATGCCGCGGGGGGAAGTCATCCTGCATGAAGCGAGGTGGGAAGCGGTTGAAGTTATGTGGATGAGGAGGCTGATTGAACTGAGGGTGCTGTTGGTGAGGGGGGAAAGGCCCTCTAAAGTGAGGTGGGCGCTGCATACGGAAAGGGGGTTCTCTCTGGCCCCCGGCCCATGGCGGCTGCTCATGCTGGTTGTTCCAGGGGGCTTCAAACTGATTATTCCAGGATGGGTCTGGCTGGTTGTTCCAGGGAGCTTCACGCTGATTGTTCCAGCCAGGCTCCCTCTGTTCGTTCCACATCCCCTCGTGGTTACTGTTCCATGGAGGACAGTGGGGAGGACCCTGGTGGTGTGGGAATGGAGGTTGATCGGGGGGCTGCAGAAGGAAAGATACAGAGTTAGTTGATTGGGGAGGGCTGCTCGGAAAACCAAGAGCTTGACTAGATGCTGCTTCACACGAGATCTTCACGTCCAGAAATACTTCCCACTCTATACATCCCAGACCTTCTACTAGTACCTGCTGTTGGCCCCAAGGTGTGACAGGATGCGGCTGATCAAACCAGGGCGGCTTATTAGGAGGAATGTGATCATGAGGCCCAGGTCCACGAGGTCCAGCTGCAGCAGGATCAGGAGGCCCAGCTCCGGTGGCTTCGTATTCTGTGGAGCCTGCAAGGGGCAGCTGAGCCTTTCCTTCATCTGAAAACAAACCGCAATGTGAGAAAGGACAGCCTCTTCCCTGGGCACGGCATAAAATCAGCCCAAAGGAGATCGCTTAGGGCACTGCCTCAAAGCTTTGCTTTGCTCAGGGCAGCTTGTTTTATTGGATAATCCCATCTAAGGAAGTCTAGTCATTAATAGTCAGAATGCCCCCTTACTGCATCCCCAAAGTTCTCAGACAGCCAAACCAGAGAGTTGAGCGGTGTTTCTCAACCTTGGCAAATTGAAGAGATGTGGCCCAAACTTGGCTGGGGAAATCTGGCAGTTGAAGTCCATGCCTCTTCCAAGTTGCCAAGGCCGAGAAACCCTGCATTAGAAGCCATTCTCTAGAGCAGGGATGTCAAAATCGATTTCATTGAGGGCCACATCAGGGTTGTGTTTGACCTCGGAGAGGCGGCGGGGGAGGTGGGGGGCATGGCCAGGACATCACTCATGTCCGGGACGTCTGTGGTGGCCTGAGTGCTCTGCCAGCAAAAAACGGCTCCTGGGCATGGCCCTCCCCCCCAAGCTTTGTTTTTGCTGGCAGAGCTGCAGGAGACCGTCGTGGCCAAAAACGGAGCCTGGGATGGCTGCACGTGGCCTTCCCAAGCTCCGTTTTCACTGGCAGAGGCACCGCGGGCTGGTCCTTTGCTGTTTCCAGGGCGGCCCCATGGGCCCGCGGGCCTTGGGCTTGACACCCCTGCTCTAGAGACTCAGCAGAAATAGAAACTCTTTGTCCACTCAGAAGAGCTGTACCTGCTTGCGTAATGGAAGTAGCTGGAGGAGGGGCTAAGGCTGGAGGAGCTGGTTTCACCTCACTTTCCAGTGGGGGGATTTGCATCTGTGGCGGCGGCTGCTGTTGCTGTTGTGTGAGGCTGCTGACAAACTCCTCATGCTGAGTTTTCAAATTCTGAATCTGCTGCTGAAATGCAACCTGAATTGGCTGCACAACATTGGCATATTCTGTGATCAGAGTAGCCTGCAAAGGGGAAGGGGAAGAGAGGGTTGGAAAAGGAAAAATGTTTTAAAGTACCAATATCATAACTGAGAGTCCTGCCTAAGTATCTTGCTCTGTCTCACATGGCATTTTTCACCCAATGCCCATAATCAGATCAATTATCAAGCTAGCACCTGGGTTTGTATAACATACTCAGCCCAATCAGTTTGTTTTAGTATTTCAATAGTGAATTAATTAAATTAATTAATTTAATTTGTTAAATCCAGTTTGTCTCTTTACTATAATTTTCATTTCAATGTATTTGTAAATTTAAGTAAGGTTGATGTTAAGACTCCAAAATTAAGAGATACATGGTGACTCTTCCAAGCTGAATTCTTTAGGGATCCACACCTATAGAAGAATCTTGTCAAACTGAACCACTCTACGATCTGTATCTACCATACACTCTGAGAACCATTAGGGACAGGCTGTCTTCACCCTCTTTCTCTTGCATAAAATATTTGGACTGAGCAGGCGCTTATTCCTCCTGAATGTACCCTGTCCCTCCTGGAAATCCAGCGTATTACATTCCATTAAAGGCAAGTACACACAAGATTGTTACTAGAGCTGTCCAAGGCCTTTATCGGCATCAACATTTTATTCTGCGTAATGAAATAGCTGCTGTGTTTTTCTTTGTGTGTTTCTGCTTTGTCCTCATGAGCCTTTGGGTACACGTGTGCTGGGAAGCACAGGGCAGGCTGCATATGCTCTGCCCCAGGTCACATGGACAAGGGAAGGCGGCTTCAAATGGAGAAATTGACAGTATTCTAATCTATCCCCAACAGCCTCCATCTTAAGGATACATCGCAGTATGATGCTTTCCTCCACAGACCCAGTCTGATGTAGCCCTCCTTTTTGTATTTCTTTAGCAAACCTCCGTTGCCATATTAATTTGGTTCTGTTCTGTTTTTGGGGAGTTATCCTACCAGTAAAAAGGAGTTCCAAGCCACTTCATGTAATTTGTATCCAACAATCCATTGGGTTGGGAAAAATGAAAAGGGATTAGTTCAATTACTAAGTCAATTTCATTTTTTTAAAAAATGCAGTTTACAGGTCTGTATATTGATAGTATACTGAAATAAAGGAAACAGGTTTATCTCTAACAATAATCTCAAGTCTATAAACAAGATTTCGGCAATTTCCTGACAGTTAGAACAATTAATCAGTGGAGCAACTTGTCCCCAGAAATTGTGGGTGCTCCAACACTGAAAGTTTTTAAGAAGAGACTGGACAAGCATTTGTCTGAAATGGTATACAGGATTTCCTGCTTGAGCAGTAAGTTGGACTAGAAGACCTCCAAAGTCCCTTCAAACTCTGGCAGTTATTCTATCTGGCAGAATGCTGGGCAGTATCCCAGGCCTTTCAATTAGTGATATTACAAAATGTAATTATTACATAGCCACTTCTGTTTCCTATCAATTTTTTTTCTGAAAAATGTGTTATGCATTTTTCTTCATGAGCCACAATGGGTCCTAAGAGATTTCACTCAGATGAGCAGCAGAGGTAATTTGGCTGAAGACATGAGAGTTACTGGCTAGCACAGTATATATATAAAACTGGGTTGTTTAATGTACAGTCAGAATCTGTGAACAGTAGCTGCCTAGAGTTTAACTTCTGTGGGAAAGCCAGAGCATTAGCTGCAGTGAGCAGCAATATGCTGTCTTCATGCAACTTCACCAAGTATTCACTCCTATCTCAAAATTCTCTAGCACTACTTAATTTTTCAAACTGGCTATTAACATTTCTTATATTGTAGTTCAAAAAAGATGTTTTTAGCAAAGAAAGAATGTAGAGCTGAGGTCAACAGCTGGCTCAGATTAAACCTAACCCAGCACCCTTTCTACCAAGCCTTTCCTTGCCAAAATCTAGTACCAAGACTTACCTGATACTGCCCGAGTCCAAGGGCTGGACTCTGGAGCTGCTGGATAATCGATTCATCAAAGTAGCCATTTTTCTCCCACAGCTGAAGGAGCTGTGGGAAATCAAGAGGAAGAGAAAGGCTGTTACTTGGCAGGCCGGACTTCAGGCAAGCTCTTGGCTGCCCCTGAAGTAAAGCCGAGCTGCTCACCCTGGCAATCTTCTGTTGTTTGTCCTCCTCCACAGCCAGGAAGCTAGTGCAGTAAATGGGCACCACCACTTTTTGCAGGGCTGCCAGGAGATCACGTTGTTGCTTCCGCTGGCTGAAAGTAAGGCAAGAACAAGGGCATCATTAGAGGAGTAGATTATTTTAAGTATGTAGAGTTCTTTATCTGGACATCTAAAGCATTTCAAGCAGGGGTGAAATGCTCCCGGTTCAGACTGGATCGCCCAAGCCGGTAGCGATGGTGGCGGGTGGTTCGGAGAACCGGTAGCAAAAATCCCTGTGCCGTCCCCGCCCCCATGCTCAGCTGAGTCGCACGATCATCAGAGGCTTTTTTTTTTTTACTTTTAAAAGCATTTTTTCTACAACCTCTTCCGACGAAAAAATGCTTTTAAAAGTAAAAAAAAAGCCTCCGATGATCGCGTGGCTCAGCTGGGATCCTCAGAGGCTTTTCAAAGCATTTTTTAAAATGCCTCTCTGACGATCCCAGCTGAGTTGCCTGATCGCCAGAGGCTTTTCATTTTTTTTTTTAAATGAAGTTTTATTGAATTAAGAACATATTACAATTCAAACTATACGGTTCGGCAACGTGTAGTCATATTGTATATTTACAACTGCGGTATCTAATCAATTATCTAATTATTTATAGTTTGTACAAAAATTCTTGTGTGTAAAATTGATTACTGTTTAATTAGAGTACAATAATATATAGGGTTAACTAATCGTTGTGCATTATTCCACATGAGTATTAACTTTTGCATTTAATTTCTAACCACCTATACCACAGATCCCAGATCGTATAAAATTCTGAATCCTCCTTTCCGTTTAACACATACGTTAATCTGCACATTTCTGCGCAGTCAAGTATCTTATTGACTATCTGTTCCTCGGTTGGTCCTTTTTTCTCTTTCCAATATCTGGCATAGGAGAGTCTAGCAGCTGTGACAATATGAATAATCAAATATTTCTTGTCCTTTCCAAATGTTCGTTTTAGCACTCCCAGGAGATAGATTTCCGGGAGGAAGTTAATATCCTCCTTTAATATTTCTTGGATCCATTTTTGTATTTTTTTCCAAAACTTCCTCGCTTCCGGACATGTCCACCACATGTGATAGAAGGTACCTTGGTGGTGACCACATTTCCAACACTTGGGGCTTGCATTTGGGTAGATCTTAGCAATTCTAGATGGTGCTAAGTGCCAACTATATAGCATCTTATACTGATTCTCCTTATAGCTTGTTGCTCTCGTCAGTTTAAGATTGCTATTCCATATTTCTTCCCAACCATCAAGATTTATCTTTGATTTGATGTTTTTCCCCCAAGCGATCATTTGATCTTTTAATATTTCTCCTTCTCTGTCATATTCGAGGAGGTAGGAGTATAATTTGGCTAATAATTTGTTCTCACTACCTAGCCATACCTTATCCAAACTATTTGTCCCCATCTCTATTCCCTTTTCTTGTTTATCTTTACTATAACGGGATTTAATTTGTAAATAGGGCCACCAATCTATATGGATCCCTTGCTCTTTTAGCATCTCATTGGGTATAAGGTTACCACTGTTATCCAAGATATCTTGGTAGGTGACCATTTTCTCCCTACCTACTGCCAGAGGCTTTTCAAAGCATTAGAAAAAATGCTTTGAAAAGTTTTTTTTAAAAAAAAGTTTGCCACGCTCACCGTCACATTACCCTCCCCCACCAAGCCACGCCCACAGAACCGGTAGTAACACATTTTACATTTCACCCCTGATTTCAAGTCATGCTCAAGCTTACTATATCCTAGGTTCCTCTATATGTTTGTCAAGCAGCCTTAATACAGATGCAACCCCCCCCCCCACCTATATCCCAAATAAGAGAAAGGGACAATTTCATGTATATTTGGCTCCCTATTCTTCACAATTTGCTAGTTTTTCAGCCAAAACATTTTTATTTAATATTTGGTATTTAAAATAGGGATTATGGTTACCATTTCCGATTGCTTTACAAATGATTATTAGAATGATCTAAGTCAGGGGTGTCAAACTGGCGGCCCGCAGGCCAGATGCGTCATGCACAGGCTATACCCACCCCCAGCTCCGCGAATAGGAAAAACGTTGCAAAACGTCACATGACGGCAACCTGACACTGTGAGTGATCAGTGAACTACGGAGTAATGTCTTTAAATTCTTCATAGTGCCAGTATGACATGCAGATTAGTAACTCCTGGAACCTATCTTTCAAGGTGCATCTGAGCAAACATTCATCATCCCATTTACCCTGGGAACCTAAGAATGGGCCCAGAAAGAACCACTTCTCACCAATGGTGGAGGACGTCGTTAATCAGATAGATTAAATGTAGTCGCAGCTCAAAATGCGCCCCCTCGGCAGTGATCTGATTGCGCAGATGCTCAGCCATTAGTTCACAATGCTGGGGAGATTTGGCATTACTGAACATCCAGTTCTTTCCAGCCTGAGAACATAAAATGGTGTGAAAGTTTGCCATAGTAAACAAAAGTTAATGTTCATAAAAAAGATCAGGCGCAAAATCCCAGGAGCCGGGATAGAGTTCAAAAATATTACGGATTTATTTCATACTCCTATACACAAGAATCTGATCTACTAAAAGTCAAGGCAAATTGGTGCTATATAAGAATCAATGGAATTCAAGGGGGACTGGAGTTAGGTCTCTTGTGTGGGGGGCGTGATGATGTGTTTGACCCCGTCAAGATTATGATTATTGGGGCTGTGATTTCTCCTGCAAAGCAATGCAATTGTCAAGTATGATTGCATTGCTTACCAGCAGCAATTCCTGCAGTCCTGTGCTGTTGTTAACCGACTCCCACAATCATTAGTCTAGGAAACTTCCTACTGGCATCTCATAACTAAAGTCACGGGCGAAGCAGGCAGGAAGTTGCAAGTTGCACACAGGTAAGTGGCTGCTGCTGGGTGGGGGAGCAGGTGTCCGTGCATGAGAGACACGAGGAGGGTGTATGAAGGTGCAAAGAATGGTTATCTTTTATGCTATATCATGGACCCATAACAACATAGCAGTCACAGTAGTTCACACAGTAGAAATCACAGACTGAAATTATAAGCTATAACAAATAATTGGAGATTACATGAATTCTTGGTGGCGCAGCAGACTAAAGCACTGTTAAGTAACACCAGCTGCCTGCAATTACTGCAAGTTCAACTCTCACCAGGCTCAAGATTGACTCAGGCTTCCATCCTTTCGAGGTAGGTAAAATGAGGACCCGGTTTGTGGGGGCAATAAGCTGACTTTGTATAAAAAAGAACACCGCTTTGGGGGGGGGGGAAGCCCTACTAAGCAGGTATATACAAAAGTATGAAGGCTATTGCTTAACACATTGTAAGCCGCCCTGAGTCTCCGGAGAAGGGCGGCATATAAATCGAACCAATAAATAAATAAATATTAAATAATTCATACTTCACCCAAGAATTCACTTTCTTATCTAAAGAGTTTATATCAGAACTTTGAGAGCTATTTCAATTTGAATGTAGTAGTTTGTCAGTCTTAACTCAATTTTTATAACTTTTCCAGTTTTGTAGATATACCAGATCTGCTCAAGATACAAAGACAGACCTACTTCATTGTTCTACTGTTAGTACTCCACATATCTTAAAGCTATGGTGGAAACACTGCTCTAGAGAATAATCAAAATTGATGGACTTGATTGCTAACTCTTACTAATTAATATTTAAAGAGAATTTCATGACCATTTGGGAATCTTCTTCAAACATGTAACAAACATTTTATCTTTGTACCAGATACCACTCTGTTCTGATTTTGCCATTACTTACGGAGATAGCATCTTTGGTGCACGTGTCAATGATTGGTTGTAGCAAGTTATCAAACTCATTCATGTCCAGTTGGGTTTCCTCCAAGACTTTCTGCATTTGTTGCTCAATACCCACAGCTATTGCAGAGGTGATTTGCTCCTAAACAGAGAATTAAAGAGGACAACCCAGATCACCACTTAGCAGAGTCTCTGAATTTTCCTACTTAGAAATCATGTTTGACTGTAACACTTCTGACATTTAATGATCCATAGCAGAGGTAGTCCTTACTTTTAAACTAAAATTCGCTCTGCTTGAGTTCCTCCTCCTTTTTTTTCCCTTCAAAGAAAGCAATACGCCTGCCCAGAGCCAAATCACAAAGGAAGAATCCACCCAAACAAGAACACCAGAAAAAGTACTCTATTTAGGTTCTTAGTAGATTCAGCCACCATATTTCAAATAAAGTCTTTGTGGTGGGTATAAGAAAAACAAGGTAATACTTGGTAACAATTCTTCAGTATCTTTGAAATAGCCTGTAGTCTAAATGTATTGGGCAAAATACGTCTGAATGAATCATTTTCACATCTTGGCTTCCCCAAACCAATCCAAAGTCTCAGATCAACAATACTTTTGTCAAATCCATACCTGTCGCAGGGCAAGGAGGTGCTGCTCCTGCTGCTGCAGATTCCATTGACTTTGCTGGATTAATTCCTCCATTGAAGGAGTCCCCTGAGGAGTGGCGATCGGGGCGGCAGGAGCCAAAGGTGGCTGGGGAATTGGCTGAATCGGTGGGGCAGCCTCAATATCTTGACCTTGCTTGCACAATACTGTAAAGGAGGAGCACAGAAGAACCCTAAGATAGCCATGTCTGAATATTGGATCACATACTCTCTTCCCCAGTTATCAAACTCCATCAAACATTTTGCAAACAGCATGTTGCAGGTGGAAAAATTCTCATCCCAATAAGGGAAATTGCTTTCTCTAGGAGAAGTGAGGCTCTAGAGAGTGGTTTTTAAAAATGGATTTTGGAAATGAGGATTTCCGAGTCTTTTTCCCTATCTAAGGCTAGTCAGCAAAAGTTACACTTATTGATTTCTATGCTAACTTCAAGTAATTCTGAAGTTATCCAAAGAAATTGGGACCTTCAGCTAAAATATTAACAAGTATGCAGCAGCTTTGCTCTAAAATGATCAGGATCAAGTTGCCTCCAAAAGTTGTAAATGCTCCAACACTGAAAGTTTTTAAGAAGAGACTGGATAACCATTTGTCTAAAGTAGGGTAGGGTATCCTGCCTAAGCAGGGGGTTGGACTAGAAGACCTCCAAAGTTCCAACTCTGTTATTCTATTCTATTCTAAGTTTCAAAATATGCAAGTGACATACTTGTTCTTTTCTATAACCGTCAGACTGTTTAAACTTCAGAATGAAAGGGGAAAAGTCAGGCAGTTCTTGAAATTAAGATACATAGCAAATAAAGAACCAAGACAATAATATCTAGCATCTTAGATTACACCTAGCTTAATGCTACATTTTTATTTTATTTTATTTTTTAAATTCATGGGTCTCCTAAGAGTTCAATTGAATGATGGGCTGCGGTGAATTTCATCTGCTCAAACCAGTCATCCCCAAGAATATTATGGAGCAGAAAAGTGCAGAAGAGAGGCAATGTAACTAACCCAAGAACTAATAAACTCAAATATTACAATCATTTTATAGTCTCTCGGTTTCAGAAAGCTCCCATTCTATTTGCAAAATGGGGCTAAAAATCCACTTTTTAGCATTGCTGATATCATATAGTATGTTTTGAATAATTTATATTATCCACAGCAAATTCTCTTGCCACCCTCCTCCCTAACTCACACTGTTGCTGCTCCAGAGCCAGCTTATATTTGTAATAGCCATAGAAATCTCCTCCAAACAGAAATGAGAATTTAGGATTTTCCTTTTGCTTCTCCATTGTCATCTTTTCAAACTCAGGGCCATTCCGTGCCACAAACTGGGCCAGTTTGTCAATGACATTGCGTAGTTCTTGATCTGTGAGGAAAGAGGAGTAACAGTAAGAACAGATATCACTGTGCATTTATAAATTAAGTAATCACCTCTAATCAATCACCACATCTATAAAACATGACTTAAGGAGTGCTATGGGTAATCACCAAAACAGGAAACAGATCCCAATTGTACCAAAAAAAAAAAACACCCTTACCTTATATAATCTGACAGTATGCTTCCTAAAGTGGCCAGATGGATTCTCCAGTAGGACATTTAAAAAAAAAAAAAACTAAATGCTGGCGCTCAACTTCACATATCTACTTCCAGATTCTATACTCCTTGCTTCATTTCACCTTTTATTGAAAACACTTTTTAGATTTAGATTTTGTATTTTTAGATCTTTTCTGATCAGCCTTTAGATTTGTATTCTTATCAGAATAAACAGGCTGGCTGCTTCAAACAGTCTTCCGGGTGCGATACAAGGTGTTGGTCGCCACCTTTAAAGCGCTCCATGGCATAGGACCCGGGTACTTACGAGACCGCCTTCTGCCTCCGATAGCCTCCCATCGACCAGTATGCTCCCACAGAGAGCGTCTCCTCAGGGTGCCGTCGGTTAGACAGTGTCGACTGGCGACCCCCAGGGGGAGAGCCTTCTCTGTGGGGCACCTGCCCTCTGCCCCCGGAGATTCGTCGGATTCCCGACCTTCGTACCTTTCACCGTGCCCTTAAAACACTATTATTCCATCAAGCAGGGCTGGCCTAAAATATTATTTTAATGGGTTATTTTATTTTAGATTATTGGCCAAACTATTTAATAATCTTAAATTGTTTTTAACTTTTATATTGTTGGTTTTTTATCTTGGCTGTACACCGCCCTGAGTCCTTCGGAGAAGGGCGGTATAAAAATTTAATAAATAAATAAATAAATAATAATAAAACCATTAGATGTTGGTTACTCTTAGCACTTTGAGAGCTGAGAACCATTCAAACTACTTATCCCTTTTATACCAAGGGGGAAAAAGAAAAAAAAGCAGCTGAACAGCTGGTACAGAAACGATGAGCCTATGTCTCCTATTCTGCTCAAGCTGGTCGCCTCCACCATACCACCTGGCACCTGCCAATCCTGCCAGCGCTGCATCGCGTGTGCGGGGTGGGCATATAAAGTTACCGGTTTTTGAAAGGTGGGGGAAAGGGTGAAGGGGAGTGGCCCTAAGGTTAATATGGCTTATGCTAAAACATGGTTCCTCCCACATTTTCAGTTGTGGAAGCCTCCTGGCCTTGACAGGCACCGTCAACCGGGCCGAACCTTTACCTCGAGGCCCCTGAGCATGTGCGGAGTGCCTATCCCCCTTTGAAGACTGGTTTCTACAACAAGCCAAAAGACACAACGTTGTAACGAAGCATCCTTCCCCACCATCAGGCCAGGTTTGGAGATAGTGGAAGCTGCCTTGCTTATATATTACACACACACACACACAGCGACTTTGTGCCCCACCACCCTCCGAGATGTCACGGAGACTCACCTTCGGGCGGGGGCAGCAGTGGCGGGGGCGGCATCTCCATGGCGGTAAAAGAAAGGGAGGACAACCACTCAAGAGCGCCTTCGGTCACGGCTAGGCCCCGCCAGCCGCCGAGCGCTCCTCTATCGTAAAAGAAGCCCCGCTTGCGACATCGCTTCTTCCTCCTCCTTTCTTCGCGCGAGGTCGCTCTTGACGGCTTCGTCGCCATGGAGATTCCGACTCCTCCCCTCTTCCCCCCACTCCCTCTCCAGCGTTGAGGGTGGAGCGGAGTTTTCCCTCGCGGACCCGCCCCTCGGCGAATGAGGCAAAGCTTTTTGGCCTGGCCAATCAAGCGGCTTCCGATTGAGCGCGCGGATGGAGCGGTGGGGGTGTGTGGGGGTGGAATCGCCGCTTCATTCATAGAAAGCGGCGGCTAGAACGCCTCGCGCCGTGCTCTGAGGCGAGGGGGTTTGAGCACCGTGCTTTTTTTCTTTTTTTTTTAAACAGGGCGATCAACTATTGCAAGTTTCTTCCGCCCCGTTAGTTTCACGTCCGCCTAGAGAGGTTGGAGGAATTCCTTTAATGAGACGAAATTATTTGCACGCTATTTACACACGCACAGTACATGCATATTTGTATGGCCGCTTCTTGACTCGCGGTGACTCTGGGTGGCTTACAAAAATAACCCACTATACAAACAATAAAAAAAAAAAAATCCCCCACCCCCGCAACATCAATCAATCTGACAAGCCACTTTGATGGGCTTCTTCGCACTCTGGGTTACCCACGTCTGTTGGCAAAGCCGGGTCTTCAGGGTCTTTGGGAAAGTGATGACCCTTTGAGAGCTGTCTGCAACGAAATTCCATCTTAATGTATGCCGATTAGTGTACATTCAAAGTTACAATAAAAAGTTTTCTCCTATTCTATTCTATTCTATTCTATTCTAATTCTGTTCTGTTCTGTTCTGTTCTGTTCTGTTCCGTTCCGTTCCGTTCCGTTCCGTTCCGTTCCATTCCATTCCATTCCATTCCATTCTCGGTTGACTCAGCCTTCCATCCTTCCAAGGTTGGTAAAATGAGGACCCATATTCATCGCTACCGGTTTGTTTGTGCCTGTGTGGGCGCTCACGTGCGCGTGCAACACTTCTGCACATGCACAGAAGCTTCTGCACATGCACAGAGATGTCCAAGTGGGTGGGCGGAGCCTCCTGCCGCTGCTACCAGTTCGCCCTATCTAAGGTGAACCGGTAGCAATCCACCAGTACCCATATTGTTATAGGCAATATGCTGACCCTGTAAACTGCTTAGAGAGGGCTGTAAAAAGCACTGTAAAGGGTATACCAGTCTTATTGCTATTGCTATTGCTATTGTTCTTCTATTCTATTCTATTCTATTCTATTCTATTCTATTCTATTCGTCTAATCTAGTCTAGTCTAGTCTAGTCTAGTCTAGTCTAGTCAAAATAGGGGCCAATCTACTCTCCACAGGGATGCTGTTCCAAAGGAAGGGAGCCACCATGAAGGCTCTTATTCTGGGTCCCACCAGATGGACCTTAGAAGAGGGGACCTGCAACATTCCCTGCCTCCCTGCTCTGGTGGGTCCAGCAGATGTGACGAGGAAGAGTGTCTTATCTGCACATTTTAAAATTTGGAAACTGCTCATTTCACTCACAGAGTCAAGAAAACAGTTAATTTTCTGTCACGTTAAACAATTACATTTTGGCAATATCTTTGCACCTAAGTGCTTTTTTTTTTTTAGTGGAGGTTTGGATTATGGACTGGTGGGATGCAATTAGCCCTTTGTTATCACAAGACTGCAGTAACAAGATCAGGAAGATGTCTCTGTAAGGTAAGGTTGCTTGCTTTTTCTCTCATAATCACCTAGCCAAATGTGCATTCTTGCTCTCAGATGGACTCTCTTTGTGGATGGAGGCCAGTAATGGTCAGAGGAAAACTTTCAAGTTGTTTACACAACCAATAGGCCTTGATGGGAAGGCCTGCTGTTGTCGCTGCACTTCTCTTCAGTGTTGTTTTAGGTTTGGCTCCCACCCCAGATGACTTCCCTCTCAAAATCAGCCCTTTCCTACCCTCTGAAGAGACAACTTATTTTTAACAAGAGAACAAAAGATGCCAGTAACATCAAGTAGCAGGCAGGGGGAATTGCAATAGCACTTAGACTTATATACTACAGGTAGTCCTTGACTTACGACCACAATTGAGCCCAGAATTTATGTTGCTAAGTGAGAAATTTGTTAAGAGAATTTTGCGCCATTTTATGACTTCTCTTGCCACATTTGTTAAGTGAATCACTGCAATTGTTAAATTAGGAACATGGTTGTTAAGTGAATCTGGCTTCCCCAATGACTTTGTCAGGTCACAAAAGAAGATCACATGACTCCGGAACACTGCAACTGTCATAAATATGAACCTGTTGCCAAGCATCCTAATGTAAATCAGATGGCCATGGGGATGCTGCAATGGTCATAAGTGTGAAAAATGCTCATAAGTCACCTTTTTTGTGCGGTTGTAACTTCTATCACTAAATGAACTGTTGTAATCAAGGACTACCTGTAGTGCTTTACAGTACTCTCTAAGCAGTTTACAGGGTCAGCATATTGCTGACCCAACAAACTGGGTCATTTTACTGACCTCAGAAGGATGGAACCTGGTTCAAGTCAACCTTGAACCAGTCAGGATTGAACTCCTGGCAGTGGGCTGCAATACTGCATTCTAACCATGCAGTTACTTCCTTTAAAAGCAAAAACTATTTTCATAATTTTCCAAGTCTTCTTCATAAAAAGGACTGAGTTATGCCAAAGGAAACAGATATCAAATTAGGGGTTGCTTCAATAGTGGAGTGCAAAGCAGCTTAGAAGGAAGTACTAACATGAATGATAACAAGAGGCAGTGCATTGATTACGGTGCTGGACTGGGACTAGGGAGACTGAATTCATAGCCACTGGGAGTGATTCTGGGCCAGTCACTGTTTCAGTCTAACCTACTTCACAGGTTGCTCTTGTGAGAATGAAAATAGAGATCTTCATATGAGCCCCTATGAAGTTGAAGAAAAGCAAGTTAGACACTGAATAATTGTTTATTTATCTGTGGGGGGGGGGTTGGCGACAATAATGCACAAACTTGTGGCATATCTTAAAATCTGTAATGATAGGATGATCTGAAGAAGCCAGACACTGGGGCTTCAGAAAGAATGGAGGCCCATAAGTCTTATTACAATTCAGGATTTTTAATGGTGGGAATTCTGCCTGGCTCATATGCCTTGGTACTGGTGGAAAGGAGAAAGAAGTTGCCTATAATCTTTAGGAAAAAAATGCTGTTACTTTCAACATAAATCCAAGCAAGAAAATTTCAACTTTGCAGAATTCAGCTTTATTTACATATTCAAATTTAAAAAGCATAATTACAACACACTTTGTTTTATCCAATTTTTAAATGTGCAGATTAAAAAAATCATGGTTCCTGTACACTACAAATAAAACCTGAAAAAAATTCACCTTACTTTAGGACAGGAGTGACTGCATTTATTTATAATATATACACCCACACCTATCAACTCAATTAAATATTCCTTTTTCAGACATTGTCAATGCGATATACAAACCATCAAGACTGCCCCTCTGAGAGGCAAGTGACTGACTACACAAACCTAAACATTTATTTGGAAACAGGCAGATCCATCTTGCCAGTTTGAAAAGAACAGACTTCCAAATTATTCAGACTCAAAAGCTGAAGCTGGCTCAGGGAGGCTCCATGTGCCCTTTCCCAAGCTGCCCCAATTCATAAATGACTTAACTTTTTAAAAAGGTTCCTCCCATGGCAGGGGAGGCTTAGAAATGTTTTAAGACACAAAAAACAGCAACCAACTTGCCATGCTGCCTAATATGCAGTTTGAACCTAACACTTGTGTTCATACAAAGGAAATGTTTCAGCAAAAAGATACTCCAGCAAGATACCAAAGGGCATGCCCAGGACATTTTGACTCTGCTCTAGTTCTTTTGTTGTTCTTCATGCTCCTAGTAACTCTTTGCATTACGGTTCTAAAAATAACTGAAAAGGAAGAGTCTTCAAAACTTTTAAGGAATTTGTCCTTTACTAAATTCAAATATTATTGAACTCTGTACCATAGCTTTCTCCAATCTCTTTGTTTTCAATTCTCATAATTTCTAGTTATCACTGGAATTTGCCCATATTGGCTGGGATTATGTGAAGTAACATCTAACAAATTTGGAAGACACCAGACTGAGCGAACCTGACATACCCTGCTCATTGCTACTGTCTAGTATCCTTTGGTATTTACAAATTTTGTCAGTCCATGCAGGTATCAGATGCTGTCATCCAAGACCTTCATTTGGCTATCCAGAGATGTACATTTAAAAAAAAAAAAAAAAAAGGCAAGGACATATGTAAATTGTCCTTAGCATGAATTTCCCAAGCACCAAAAATGTTCCTTTTAGTGAGAGACAAAATTTTACTTATTTACAAGAATAAGTTGCTTGTTGAATCGTAGATCTAAAAGTCAATTTTTACAACTTTTACAAGCTAGCTCTTTGTTCTAGTTCATTGTTCTGCTTTGGGGGAAATTACAGAAATTTTACAACACACTCAAAGCCAAAGTACACACCAGGATTTCCAATTACATATATACAAGTGCATGTGCACCCCTTCCCCGAACATACACACATACATACATGCACTGTTATCCTACCAATCACCCCCTCCCAAGACAAGTAAGTATGAGAATAGATGGGACACCTAAAATTAGTGTATCAAGCAGGCCCAGAATAAACATAATACTCCAAATATTGAATTTCACATATATGTGAAATTCGCTGGGAACATTTTTTTTTTTGAGAGTCTAATGTATGTGCTCTCATCACATGTAGGGCAAAGTCATACCTCATGCAGCTCCTTTCTCATGGCTCTAATTGGGCTACAAATGTTCAAAACTAAAATAGTACATTAGGACTACACCAGTGGTGGGTTTCTACTGGTTCACCTCGGTTTGGGCGAACTGGTAGCAGCGGCGGGAGGCTCCGCACACCCACCCGGACGTCATCACGGACACTCTGCGCATGCGCAAAATGTTCTACGCTTGAGCAGAAGCGCTACGCGCGAGTGAAGCAAGCACGTACGCGCACACACTCACAGTTCCGAACCGGTAGCGAAGGTAAGTGAAAGCCACTATTGGACTACACCAATTACAATCAGCATCCTATTACTAAGACAAGATTCCCAATGCCTCTCACTGCTTCAGAGAATCTAGGGAGAAGGAAGAGAAAATGAATCTCTGTCCAACCTGACAGTGTGAAAGGACACAAAGGAAAGATATGTGACAACATGCTGTAACTTATTGGCTTTTACTGTTTTATATTGTACTCTGGACATACCTAGTTTATTCAGTCAGCTATGCCTTAAAAGCCTCTTAAAAATTAAAATTATTATCAGCTTTGCATCATTACACCATCAATGAGACTGGAATGTTTATCAATACTAGAAGGCGACAGATTTATGTTCCCAACTGAATTATCACAATATAGAATCTGTTCTTTACTGGTCCTAAACTGGGTGAGATCTTAAATCTTTATTTATGATATTCTTTTCACATACATTTATAAAAAAAAAAAAACCAAAGTAGACTCACTCTCTTTGGACAAACACACTTTTAGTACGGAAGTTAGTTCACACATGTAAGAATAATGTCCACTTTTAAATTTTGGGACCTTATGTCCTTCTCAAAAATGAATTAACTATTTTTGTTTTATAAATCTATCTTCCCCCATTTTTTACCCTGGTTTCCTGCTCAAACTGTATAGAAATGATTTTCATTTTGTTTCCATTTAGTGGCCAGGCATGCTCATGTGAAGTCCACATGTCGTTTTATTCTTCTACAGCACACATCTTAAGAGAAAAGCGCTTTCCCACTTTATTCTGTTTGCCATCTGTTTTCATTGCTTTGGTATTATGAAAAGAGAGGGACGTTGGCAGAGAGACATTCCTGTCTTTCTGCTCTAGAAAGAAGGCAGATGAAACCTAAATAACTTGAAAGGAAAATAGTGCCCTCTCGGCAGAGTCATCCTAGACCTTTTGAAATCCTCTGGGAACAGATCAAGGTCAGAATGACTCCCCCATTACCAGTCCCTGCAACCTTCCCATATTGCAGCCTTCATGAGGGGCCTTATTACAGAATGCAAACCTTCTTTTTCAATTGCATACAGCATGGGTGTCTTCCTTTCATCCAGAGCTGCATTTTCTTTTCCACACCCAGGTTAGAGAACTCACATGTCTTTAGCTTCCCTTTGCTCAAGGAGAGAGCAGTTTTAAGAAAATCAAATGGACACCCTAAAATGGATGTGCACATTTTGCCTTCCCACCATCAGCAGGGGCCAGTCAAATTTTAAAAAGAAACAGGCCAAGGTATTTGGCTCTTGTCTAAGACTTGCTTTCTTGTATAAACTAAGGGCCTCTCTCTTACCTGGGCAACCCAGAAACATGATTACAAACTCACAAGAGCATAGTGGACATATTGGAGACTTCTGCTGAAGATCTCAGCTAATCATAGTGCAGGAGAAAGAACTAGTTGCTCCAGTTTCAGTACCCAGGAGAAGAATTCTTGAGAGGCAAAAAGTAAATGTCATCTACAGCAGGAAAGAAAGTATGAGGAGTATTTCAAAGAGAGAACATAAACAATCTGACATCAGGATAGACCAATACTCATAGTGGTATTTCTTAAAAAAATTATCCTTGTAAACTAGAAGAGCACAACCCTCAGAAAATAATTCCTGAAGCTGCATGATATTATTAAGAAATTTTGCCCTATGGAGAAAATTGCATGGCATATGGATCTCTTTGCTTCACCTTTTTGTATGGGGGGGGGGGGGAAATCCCAAACAAAAAAGGCTTTGAGACCATGATTAAAACAGGAGCGGGAGAGGGAGGATTTCAGAGCCATACTTGCTACACAGTGCTAGCAGCAAACTCTTGCTACTACATGATTTTATTTATTTTTTTTGAATAAATTCATTCATTCTTTCACCAGAGACTAGAAACTGCTCCCATTCTTCTTCATTTTTGGCAATCCCCCTCATAATGCTGCAAACGAAGGCAGCAAATGAGCAGCAAAGCTACCCTCATTATAGAATACAACAAACCTTCTCCTCTTTTCCACAAAAGAGGGTCCGAGAAAAAAAGTTGTTTTTGTTCTATTTTGAAAATAACTGAAAATGAATGGCAAAGTAAGGCAGAATGCAACTCAAAAAGATCTAAAACCAGGAGTGTAAAGAAGAAAAACTGGCCACGTTTGTGCTACCATGGACAATCAACATGTTCAGGGGCATCTGGTGATCACAGAGACTCAGAGGCTACAGACTGGGGCTTTTGCATGGCCAAATTTTACCTGATGAAACCCACCCCAGTGGTTTCTTCCACTAGGAAGTATTGCTTGGCATGCAGTACCCTCTTCTATAGCATTTATCCCTCCATGGGACATATGCACAGACCCCGGCTATTCCTTGAGACTAAACAGTCACACAAGTGGAAGGGGAAAACTCCATGTGAAGAGTTCACATTGTTTTAGCAATGAATACGCCTTCGCTAAATATCATAGCGACTGGAGCTATAGAGTCCTGGATAGTTCTGCCGGGAATACTGGAGGTGATCTACGAGGACATTGCTCCTGCTGCTACCATACTGGAAATCTCCATGATGTGCAAAGGAGGCAAGTCCATTCTGAGACTTTTCTGGGGTACTCCAGCGCCGATCCAGGTTTGTTAGATCTCCCGTCGTGATAGGAAGGAGCTGCTTTTTTGCTTCCCGGTGTGCATCGTATTTGGTCTGTAAAATAATTACACTATCAGCCTCAGAAATCAGAATATCTACTCAAGTACAAACAGCCTAAAAACAAGGGATACATTAACTATCTTGAGAAATATTAAATGAGAAACTGTTAACTTGCTCTTTCCATTTATTAATGAGAAAGCACTAACTGCTCCCATTGATGATTGATAGGATTAAGAAATCACCTCAGAATGTAGAGGATTGAGTAAGGAGTCCATGTGGTAGACACTATGGTGGGCTTCCATCATGGCAAAAGGAAAGACCTATGTCTGAGGAGCAACATGGAAGTATTGCCTTTGGAATCTTGGGAGCATATGAGTCATAACAGGGCAAGACATAAACTCAAGCCTGATTGGTCAGTTCATTTGACTTCTAGAGTCTCAAATGAAGCCCCTCCCCGCTATTGCATCATAAACTGAGCTCATCAATATTCCTGTAAGAGAATGAGCCAGACTGATTCCACTTTGGCTGGATGGGATCAGTGAAGCAAAGTGGGTGTGGACATATCACATTCACAGACAGAGGTAGGAATTTTTTTCTGTTGTCATTTTTGAGAGGAAAGCAGAGTTCTTTGCATTTTTCTGTCAGTACTGAACTGTAACTTGTTATATTAACTGAGTTGTTTTAGTGTGGTGGGCTGCTAAGATTACAGGCCACTAAGGAAGCCTTCAAAACACATCTAGGTTATATAGTGTCAAAGTTTCTTTGTGATATTTTGAAACAACATATCACCTCCTTCGCATTAAGTTCAACTACCAACCTCAGGGAGGGCAGAACTGTAATGTCCTGGACCCGTGATGGCGAACCTATGGCATGTGTGCCACTGGTGGTATGTGTAGCCATATCAGTGGGCACGTAAGCTCGGCTCTGGCGTGCATGTGTGCGCCAGTCAGCTGATTTTCGGGCCTTCTGACCCACCATAAGTAGTGAAACAGGCTGTTTCCTGCCTCCGGAGGGCCTTGGGAGGTGGAGGTGGGGAAAGCCCGTTTTTTGCTGTCCTGAGCCTCTAGAGCAGTGATGGCTGACCTTTTTGCCATCATGTGCCAGGAGAGGGGGGGCGGGGGAGGGTCGCACACACGTGCCCACGCGCATGCGCACGCAACCCCACCCACCCCTGGCACGATAGCCTGGTAGGCCCGTTTTTCTTTCTTACCTGGTTCCAGATCCTCTCTATGCATCTGGGAAGGGCAAAAACAGCCTTTCCCACTCCCTTGGAGGCCCTACAGAGGCTGAAAGGGCCCATTTCCCAACTCTCGGTGGGACAGGAAGTGACATTTTTTGCTGTACCCAGCCTCCAGAACTTCTCTAGGAGTCTCTAGGAGCCTCTCTAGGAATCTCTGGAGGCTGGAGACAGGAAAAAACGTCACTTCCTGTCCCACTGGGAGTCGGGAAATGGGCCCTTTCAGCCTCCGTAGGGCCTCCAAGGGAGTGGGAAAGGCTGTTTTCGCCCTTCCCAGATGCATAGAGAGGATCTGGAGCCAGGTAAGAAAGAAAAACGGGCCTTCCCCCTCCCAGGCCCTCCAGAGGCAGGAAACAGCCTGTTTCCCTACTTCTGGTGAGCCCAGAAGACCCGAAAATCAGCTGGCCGGCGCATGCATGCGCCCCAGAGCTGAGCTGGCGTGCCCACTAATATGCCACCTGTGGAACGCGTGCCATAGGTTCGCCATCACGGCTCTAGAGCCTCTCTAGGAGTCTGGGGAGGGTGAAAATGGCCTTCCCTACCCCCCCGGAGGTCCTCCTGAGGCCGAAAACGGCCTGTTTGCCAAGTTGGCAAACGCGGGGGCGGGGCACATAGAATTATTGGTGTGGGCACACACGCATGAGCCCCCCGCCCCCCTCCTGGCACGTGATCGCAAAAAGGTTAGCCATCACTGTCCTGGACTATTAAAGGCCATTTCAACTCTCAAGACTGGGAAACTCTACTTCATTTGATTATTTTATCATACTCATCTTTTATAACAATAGCTAGGCTTGAGTAATTTTTATATGGTATTTAAAATTGTTGCATATTTATACTGCAGCTTGTGAGGAATCAACCTAACTTTGGGTTGTCTTTACAATACTTGTCAGAATTAACTTTGTTTCTGTTTTCTTCCTAAAAGCTTAAGGTATACATTATTTAGTTTTCTACCTCAAAATCGTGGAGAACTATGTTGTTGATTTTGCACCATTGAAATCTGGCAATGTTGAGGACTGATAGAAGAGAATATTTGTAGCTCAAGACTGAATTGTGGGGTCTCTGGCGCTCTCTGAGCTTGGTTGTTTTCTTGCAGGCCTTTCATTACCAAACTAGATAAACATTATCAGTGATGATGTCACCTGGTTTGATAATGAAACTGTAAGAAAATAACCCAGTTATGTGCAAGAAAATGACCCAATTCAGAGAATACCAAGGACTCCGTATGTTGAGGAGCTACAAAAAAGAGAACTATGGACCACTTGTGGCTCTGTAACTTTATACAGTCAAAAGTAGAGCTTCATTCATGGAATAATATTTGATTTGAGAAATCAGGAGATAAGAATCCATAAAGACAGAAATATACCTCTTTCTCAAGTCATTAATGAAACTCAAAAGTTAAGAAAAAGTCATTCTGTTCATTTTGAGGAAACAGAAAATGAATCCTGAGCTAGCCCAACCATTTAAAAAGTTAAACCTCAGTTATGCTTGAATTCCAGTCTGAGTTCCAACCAGGGCTCAGAGAATATTTCAAATACATTCATTTTTCATTCACTGTTTGGCCTGAGGTTAAAAGAAGATTTTCCATTGGCTACATACCTTGTTGTACAAAAACACTCCCAGGATAGCAGTCATCATGCCCAGAACATTGGTGGAGGTGACAGGGTTGCGAAGCATGATCAGGGAGACACTAATGACAGTGATCCTTTTTGTGGCATTTGCAACAGAATAACTCAAAGGGCTGATAAGGTTCAGGATGCTGAAGGCAATGACATTCTGGGCAAAGTTGCAGAAACCGCTGATGGCCAAGAGAAGGATGGTCCATGGCCAATGAGCCATTGAACTCTGTGGGAGAAACAGTCTGTGAGACACCAGCAACCTTAAAAGGAACAGAAGCAGGTACAACACACTGGTTGTGGTAATTGGTTGGGTATAACTTAATATTTCTCTAATTAAGCACAAGGATTCCTAGCTTTCAATTCCAAACATTGTTAAAGATATAAAGATACTTTAGAGTAGGCCTATACATGATGTACCCATCTGCAAGTTCTTATATAAAATGTAATTTCCCCCCAATATCATGTTGTTAAAGTATCTTTTTACCTGTGAATCCAAGTCACTAAATATAGTTCACCAGTTGTTGACATAAAACTATTTTTATATGCACCATAATCATTGTAATTAATTTGTCGAGGAAAGAATTTTCAGTTCTGATATATCCTTAGATAGAAATGTCCTTTATTTTTTTAACATTTCATTCAAAAAAGTATCTCTTAGTAAGAGCATAAATGAAAGAGCCATGACAATTGAATCATAAGCTTGAAAGTTGATCTATTAAACTAAAACAGTCCTGTAGGAAACGTTTGCTTTCATATGATTAGAACAAATCAAATACTTTTTTCTATAATATACTAAAATCTTGCTTGGTTACTCTGTTACAGGTGGTATTTATTTAATGACCAATTGTTCAGTGACCAAAGTTATGATGGTGCTGAACAAGTGATAGTTACGTATGAACAGTCTTTATATGCTGCATCCCCTGGGTCACCTGACCACCATTTACAACCTATTTTCCTGGCTTCCTACTAAGTCAATCAGGAAGCCAGCAGGGGATCACAAAAGGTGACCATGTGAAGATCTAACCTGTAATAACCTGTGATGATTCACTTAATGACTATAACTGGGACTGCCAGAATTTGTTGTTAAGCAGCAATCATGTGATATGCTTTATAACCACATTGCAGCAACAGAAATTCTGATCCCAATTACCTTCTTTAATCAAGGACTGCTATTAGTATAACATGTAAGAGCTGCGGTGGCGCAGTGGTTAGAGTGCAGTACTGCAGGCTACTTCTGCTGATTACCGGCTGCCAGCAGTTTGGCAGATTGAATCTCACCAGGTTCAAGGCTGACTCAGCTCTCCATCCATCCAAGGTGGGTAAAATGAGGACCCAGATTGTTGGGGGCAATATGCTGATTCTGTAAATTGCTTAGAGAGGGCTGTAAAGCACTGTGACACGGTATATAAGTCTAAATGCTATTGCTAATAGAGAAATAAGGCCACCCAGCTTTCAAAAAAAGTTGAAAAAAGATAGTTTTATTATTGAATAACTAGTTCTTTTAGAATTACTTAACCTGTTAGCATACTGTGAATAATTTACCAGATGTAGCTGAGATTCTAAGTGCAAAGAAATGGATAGACCCGAAAGTATTTTAAAGGATGAAAAAGTTATCAAGATTTTGCAATAATTTATAAACTGGAATGGGCAACATGGCACTATTCGGATACAATAGTCAAAAATTCTTACTGGCTACGCTAGGTACAGTACAGTTTATTTACTTATGGCCACCTACCTCCTAGGTGACTACACTATAATTTAACAGCAATTATCTTAGTGGACACCTATTTGCTAAAAAACAGTAGAACTTAGTGACAAGTTTAATTTAATATAATTTTGGTAAGAAATTACTTATTAATAAGATTTAGATCTTTCTTCCCTCAAAGAGTTCAACAGTCCTTCAATTTCAACAAACCACTTGAGATTAGCTAGGCTGTCACTTGACCAAAGTTAATACAATGATAAAATCCATAAAAGGTGAAAACTCAAAAGGCATGAGCAAAAAATACATTTTGAGCTCCCTCATAACGTACAGTAATAAAGGCTCCAGCAACAATTTATTATGCATCCTGCCACAAGAAAGGCAAGATTATTTGTATTATACTATCTATGCCTTTGGCAGGGTCTGCAAAAGTGCCTAGTTAATTACCTAAACTGATCATCATGAAGAAAACCTATTTTTGCATCCACTAAGAGTAAACAATGACTTGATGGCACATAATCAATCAAAAGCTATGACACTCTTGAGGGCTTATAACTGGTTTAGAGAGCTATTGGGAAGCAGTGCAATTGTTTCAGCACAGTGATGATATGGCAACACCTTTGTAGCCGCATTTTGAGCAGTTCCAATTTCTGTACTGTCCAAGGGCTTCCCTTCAACATATACACAGCAATAGCCTTTGAGGTTACCAGCATCTGGATCACCAATACCAGGTTTCCATCTCCAGAAAGAGGCCCAATTTGTTTTTCAAATAAGCTGATAAAAGGCTCCATTGCCACTGATGAGATGCCAGATCCAGAAAGGACCCCCAGACTGTGAACCTGCACGTTTAGGGAGAGTACAACCCCATCCAGCATAGCCTTATCTCCTGAATCTTGAAGTTCAGCCCCTGGATCAGCAACAACTCCATCTTGTCTGGTTTCAGCTTCACCTTGTTCTCCCACATTCAGTCAGTCCTTTATACAGCCAGGAGACTTGCAGAAGCTCTCGAGACATCCAACCCTGAGCTCGCAGGAAAGGAGAAGTATAGCTGAGTATCATCAGCATACCGACAGTGACTAGCTCCAAACCCAGCAGCCTCGATGTTAAATATAATTAAACTTTGCATGATCTGCAGGACAGTCCCAGGGGTTGAGCAACAGTCTCTCATAACACCACCAGGTAGTGCCTTGAAGGGAAAGGGCAGAATTACTGAAAACAGTGCCTCTAAATTTCAGCTTCTTCAATAGTTCCAGCAGGTTGGCATGACCAGTAGTATTAAAAGGAGGCTACAGGAGCATCAATAGGACTGCATTTTCCTTCTCTCTTTCTCCCAGCAGTGGCTTACTTTTTATTGCAGATTTCACTTTTAACAAAGTGAATTTTTCATTTTTAACAACATACCAAATAAGGTACAACACATGTATACATTTCAATAATTGAAAAAAAAATATTTAGATAAAAGCCAAACATCTTATTCTGAATCTTTCCATCTATACACTATTCATTTTCCATAACTGGCTGAACTCTTCCATCTAAGTACCCTTCTTCTTGTCTACCAGAACACTTCAAAGTCTATTGAAGAACATAGGCTCAAAAAATGTCTACAAATTTCAAGAATTCAGTCAACCCATCATCCAGTTCAGTTTTGGAGCTCTCGTGGTTTTATTGCTAATATGCTCAAAGTCCTTCATGATGATCAAAATCTGGGTTCAATACCAGTTCTAAACAGCTAAGACAAAAATATGGGAGGGCTGCAATGGAAAACATGATAAAAATATCACCAAAAAAGCAATGGGAGCCTCCTGACCCCAACTCACTCCCGGGACATACTTCCAAGCTAAAGGCCTTTTCTACAGAGTTAACACTTACCAAGTCATTTTCTACCAGGAATGAAGATAGATCAACCAGCACCCATGTTGGGATCATGAAAAACACAGCATGGCACCCAAGGATGTTCAACAGACGGAGATGGTGTATTCGTGAATCTCTTAAAACCTGTAAGAACAAAGAATTCAGAAACAGCTCCTCCTTCAAGGATCATTTTTTTTAGTTGTTTTTCTTCCTGTAAACTGAAATGTAATTGCTGTATTTCAAATACACAATTTCTTTACCTGTGTGCAATTGAATACAGTGGCAGTGATTAAGCCATTTTTTCTAATTTGATGACCTACAGATAAATTGCATCTCAACTTTCATAATTCCCAGCCTTCATAGCTGTTGGGTAATGTTGAGACTATAGAAAGAGTGCAGAGAAGAGCAACAAAAATGACAAGGGGACTGAAGGCTAAAGCATATGATGAACAGTTGTGGGATGTCTAGTCTAATGAGGAGAAGGACAAGAGATGACATGATAGCAGTTTTCCAATATTCGAGGGGTTGCAATAGGAGAGGAGGTCAACCTATCTTCAAAATACCTGATGATAGGACAAGAAGTAATAGAAGCAAACTTATCAAGGAGAGATACAGCCTAAAACTGAGGAGAAATTTTCTGACAATGAGAGCAATTAACAAGAGGAACGGCTTGCCTCCAGAAGTTGTGGGTACTCCAGTACTGGAGGTTTTTGGGTGATTGGACAGCCATTTTTCCGGAGTGGTATAGGGCCTCCTGCTTGAGCAGGTTATTGGACTAGAAGACACCTTCCAACTGTTTTTTTTATATTCTATATAAATGAAATCTTATTTTGAGTCAGAGGCACCAAGTTGAAAAATCTCAACTAAACAATAAAATAATAAAATTTGAAAAATCTAGGCAACACTATTTATTATTTATTTGTTCAACTTGTATGCCACCTTTCTCTGAAGACTCAAGGCGGCTTACAATGCATTTAAAAACCATATATAAAAACATTAAAAATTAAAACATTAAAAACAATTAAAACCCATTCACACCATTCATGGCCGGATCTCGCCAGATCGCAACAGCGAGATCAACGGCCCCAGGCCTGCCGGAAAAGCCAGGTCTTCACCACTTTTCGGAAGGCCAATAGGGTGGGGATGGTCCGGATCTCAGGAGATAACTGGTTCGAGAGAGCTGGGGCAGCCACAGAGAAGGCCCTCCCTGCGGGCCCGCCAACATCTAGCATCTAACTACAAACTAATTGGGTGACTCTGTGTCTGCCTGTCTGTCTTAAAAAGGCCCCCAAACCAACCTCTTTAAGCTATTCAAGAAATCTTATTATACATTTAGTTGCTAACTTTTAAGTCACTTAAAAGCCTGAAGCCTGAAAATTCATCATATAAACTAACATACAGAGTCCAACTTACTTAGTGTAAACTATATGTTAGTTTAGACTAAAAAAGATTTGGACATTTAAGGTTCAATGTGCTGTGAGAACTCAACCATATTCTTACAATGGTGTGTCAATAAGGCCATCGTGTTAAGGCATGTTATTAGAACATAATATTGTGGATTGTAAACCTGGATTTAGCATGTTATGAACATAAACTACCAGCTGACTTAAGGAAACCCTCCCCTACTCTCCATTTCAGTTTTCCATCTATAAATTGGTTAACAATTGCAGCTTAGACTTTGTGTACCACAAAGAAACGATTGAGTTTCTACACCATTAGAGAATATGAGAACTTGAAATGTGAATATATCACATTTGTTACAAAGACCGACAGCATAATCATTAGTGCAGAAATATCAAGTACATTTGCATATGTGTAGCCAAGTGCAAAAATATACATTAAAACAAATAACCACAGGGTACCTTCTTAGAGAAAATATTCTGAAGTGAGAAGCAGAGAGTGGCAGCCAGGGCACTGATAAGCCCCCAAGTATCAAATGAGAGTTCTGTAACTGTAGCCAGCAGCACTCCACCAATAATAGGGATGAGGGATAAATATACCTGACGGAAGAAAAGAAAAAAAATACCTCTATTTATTTATTTATTAAATGTGTTTGCCGCCCATCTCACTTCAAGGCAATTCTGAGCAGCTTACTTATACGGGACAGCAGCTGTTTCCCAAGTTCAGGTGGTACAGAAAGTTTATGCAAGCCTCACAAAACTCGCTTTCCAAATGTTTTCTTTTTCCAGATAAACATTTCAATGAACAACTGCAGAGAAGCGTCAAATACTTCATCCCTCTGACTACACTTTATTTCTCTTACCTTGGTTGTCTGCTTTTCCTTCATGATGATTCTTGACAGGAGAACAACCCAAATAGGCATTGTTGCTTTAACTGGAAAGAGGAGGAAGGGCACAGAATTAAAGTCGGAACGGAGGCCAGCAACAAGGCCTGTGAAATAAAAGCTACTGATATATTGCACGCAGATATTGCTCAACACAATGTAATGCAGTATAAATAATTGTTCAACCATCACTCACGTATGCAAAAGCTTCCATAGTGATACTGTGACACTCCTAGACTACCCGATACTTTTTTCTATACTACTTCCTGCTTTACAACTAAACTACATGCTAACTACGCTTTGTGCCATTTTGAAAAAACAAGGACAGCTTTTCTAAACATAAAAGATACAAAAATCTTGCCTGAACACAATTTTTAATATGCAAATTACACAACAACTACAAGAAACTTACAGTGTGAAATACAGGTAGTCCTCAATTTAGAACAGTCTGTTTAGTGACCATTTGAAGCTACAACAGTACTGAAAAAAGTGACATATGACTATTGTTCACATGACTGTTGCAGCATCTCCAGGGTCGCATGATCCAAATTCAGATACTTGGCAACTGGCTCATATTTATGACAGCTACAGTGTACCGGGGTCATGTGATCACCTTTTTGTGACTTTCTGACAAGCAAAGTCAATGGGAAAGCCAGATTCACTTAACAACTGTGTTACTAACTTAACCGCTACAGTGATTCATTTAACAACTGTGGCAAAAAAGTTCGTAAAATGAGGTGAAACTCACTTAACAACTATCTCACTAGGCCACAGAAATTTTGGGCTCAATTGTGGTCATAAGTCAAGGACTACCTGTATTGAAACATATTTTATTTTACCTCCACAATTAATTCTGCAAGGAATTAAAGATAAATGGAGAAATCAAGGCTGCACGGGATTTCTGAGATTAATTAAATACATCTGAAGGGTTTTTTGGGCAGAATCCTTTATCAGTGAAATAAATTTACTTGAGGAACAAATCCTTTTATTCCCTCAGCTTCTCCCGTAGCCCCCTGGAGAAGAATGTGATACTGTACAAAATGCATGGGGAAGAATGAATTATACCCCTCATTCCTCCTCCCACATATTATTTATACTGACAGAATATCTTCAAATGAAGATGGTTCACTGGATTTCATTATCAGACAGCACAACCCTCATTTTCCCTGCCTTTGCTTCCCTCTTAAGAACTATCAGGCATTCTGGTTGAACCAGATTATTGGCAGTAAAAACTTAAAAAAAAAACACAATACCATACCCTCCAGGCATGCTTTTTCTTCCTCAATATAAATAAGGACATTATCTTGAAATTCTGCCAACATTCTACACATAAATGGGGACAGCCTAGTAATCTAATGAAAACTGATACCTCCATACAGAGAAAGCCCTCCTAGGTCTTTGCAAATCCACTTGTGAACCAAAGTAGTTTAACACTGAACTACAAAGAGAAATACAAATAGTCCTTGACTTACAACAGTTTGTTTAATGACCTTTCGACGTTACAACGGTGCTGAAAAAAGTGACTCATGACCATTTTTTCACACTTGCGATGACTGCAGCATCCCCATGGTCATGCGGTCAAAATTCAGACGCTTGCAACTGGTTCATATTTATCACGCTTGCAGTGTACACCATTTTAAGTTTTTTGTGACCTTCTGACAAGCAAAGTCAATAGGGAAGTTAGATTCACTTAAAACTTCGCCTAAAGATTCACCTAAACTTAACAACCATGTTACTAATTTAACTGTAGCAATTCACTTAATAACTGTGGCAAGAAAGGTTGTAAAATGGGGCAACATTCACTTAACAACAAAAATCTGGGGCTTAATTGCGGATCATAAGTCGAGGACTACCTGTAACCAAGATTCCAAACTCATCCTTAGTCACAAATGTTCACTGGGCAATATTGGGCCAATCAACTTCCCCTTAACCCACCTTACCTCACAAGGCAGTTGTGGGGATAACAGGAGACAGCATAATGCACTGCTACCCCTTGTGATTAGCAGTCATAGCGTGTGGACTGGGACCAAAGACACCCCAGCTTCCATCTAGTCCACCCTTAGCCGTAGGGAGAACCTTACTGGTGACTTTGGGCTAGTCATTCTCTAGGCCAGGGGTGGGCAATTGTGGCTCTTTTACAACCTGTGGACTTCAACTCCCAGAATTCCTGAGACAGCTTGGCTGTCTCAGGAATTCTGGGAGTTGAAGTCCACAGGTTGTAAAAGAGCCACAATTGCCAACCCCTGATTCTAGGCTCAAACATACCCCCCACATTTATTCCTGGGGAGAAAATAGGAAGAAATGCTACCCCTAGATGTGCTGTCTTAGGTCGACCCATAGTAACATCTCAAAAAAAAAAAAAAAAAAAAAAGGACAGTTGGAAGAAGTGCTTCCTTCTTTCTCGATTACTCAACCCCGGGCCCAGAAAAAAAATTGAAACGTTATTTCCAATGCAAGCGTATTATATCCTCAGGCGATCCCTCCTCCTATCTAGAACAGGGAAGGGAACAAGCGAAGTGCCTCTCCCCTCCCTCCCCCCCTCCCAGCACTTTTAAACCTGAAAGCACTCTGCACATGGACCAGAGCCTCCTTCCTTCCTTCCCTCCCCCTCCCCCACCCCGCGCGTTCCCCATCATACCGGTGTGAGCGTAGGAAATCGGGACTCGCCAAAGGGAGACGTGGGCCGAGACGGAGGCCAAGTACTTGCCGAAGGCCAGCGGGAGGATGAGGCGCGGGTAGGCGCGAGGGGGCAGCTGGGCAGGGCTGGCGGCGGGCACGCGCCAGGCCCGCAGCAAGGGGGGCAGGAGCGCCACCAGGCCCAGCACGTGGCAGAGGGAGACGGTGACGGGACGCGGGAAGTCGCCCAGCAGCACCTTGTTCACCACATTCCCGCCGGCGCTCAGGGCGTACCACGCCAGGCAGAGCGCGGGCACGCGGAAGAGCCCCGTGGACCCGCGAGGGGACGCGCCGGAGGGGCCGGCGGGCGAAGGGGGGACGGGAGGGGGGAGGAGGAGGCCAGGAGGTGGCGGCGGCGGCGGCGGCGGCGACACCATCCTCGGGTTGAGGGGGGTGGGGGTGGGGGAAAAGAAAAGCTGCACCGGTGCCTCTGCAGCCGGGCCGGAGCCGCTTTGCCTTGTTTCCCTCGGACGCGTCACTTCCGCACAGCCGGCGGAAGCGGAGTGCCATAGCGACGGAAGCCCGGGAGACGGCTACGTTCAATTTCAAAAAAAAAAAAGCGAAGTTCTCAACGGTTGGTCCTGGCAACAGGGAAGGAGCCGGCTGGTTTCGCTTTCTTTGCGGTGTGTGGCACTGGGGGGGGGGGGGGGGGGGGGGGGGAACGAGCGAGAAACGACTACGCTGCTTTAACTCCCAAAGTTTTGAGGGGTTTTATTATATTATGGAACCTTCATCACTGGAAGCTCCCACAATATAATAAAAATTAAAATATTAAAATATTATATATATATTATTATATTAATATATATATTAATATATAATTAATATATATATTAATTATATATATTAATATATATATATTAAAATATTAAAAAAAGGTCAGAAATTGGTGTATACCAGAGGTCTTCAAACTTGGCAGCTTTAAGACTTGTGGACTTCAACTCTAGCTATGCTGGCTGGAGAATTCTGGGAGTTGAAGTCCACAAGTCTTAAAGCTGCCAAGTTTGAGGACCTCTGGTATAGGGTCTCCTGCTTGGGCATGGGGGTTTGACTACTTGACCTACAAGGTCCCTTCCAAATCTGTTAAGCAATATCACCGATAAAATTAGGCTCTCTTTTTTCCTTGGAATAACATATGGAGAAGGCGCAAACTCCATCTCTTCCAAGCCCAAAGCCCCACATTGCTCATTTATTCACGCCTGCACTTGCGTACAGTAGTCCTTGATTTAACAACAGTTCACATAGTGACCGTTCGAAGTTACGGCACTCAAAAAAATGTCTCATGACATGACTATTATAGCATCATATGATTTACATTCAGATGCTTGACAACTGACTCCTATTTATGATGATTGCAGTTGTCCTGGGATCATGTTGCAAACGTCTGACAAGCCAACTCGATTGGGGGGGGGTAACCAGATTCACTTAACAACCGTGCTTAACAACTGCAGTGATTCACTTAACAAATGTGGCAAAAAAAAACGTAAAATGTGGCAAAACAAATTTCTCACTTAGCAACATAGGTTTTCGGCTCATTTGTGGTCATAAATTGAGGATTACCTGCATTTCTACATACCATCAGGTGCTGTAGATGCAGTCACAAAGCGTTGATCTTATGCTGCTGCCAGGGAAACTAAGAACAGTATCTCTAAAATGAGAAGGTAACAGGCTGACAATGCTCACCTTAGCATCATTTCTACTTAGGCGTATGCAAGCTGCCAGTGGTTACTCTTGTACAGACAACAAAGCGTTGCTTATCCTCGAGTAATGTACACAACCATGGAAGCAGATCTCACAAAATAAAGTCCAAAACATGAAATGTATCGAGGATTCCACTAGGATTTGCACAAAGCAGAGAAAGTGATTCTGTTTAAACTCAGGATAAAACACAAGGAATATTCTAAGTTTGCTGGATTCTGCAGAATAAAATTTTTTGAGTGTCTTGTCCCATCTTCAAACAAAATTCTTCATATCAAAGTCAGAATACTCACATTGCCAATTTAGATGTCATAATATTTTCAAGTGTTTTGCATACCAATATTTCATGTTTCTGCAAAGTAGACTGGGCCTGAGAAATGTATTTGCCACAGCAATACAATTCAACATGTTATTTGAATTACATCTTTAAGTGTTTGACAGTGTTCTAAAAAAAAAAGCATAATTACAATAAGCCTATAACTCATGCTTGTCCCTCCTTTTCTTTCCCAGTGTCTGGAGCGGGATAGTTTAGCAAATGATGACTTGGCGAAGATCCTGAAGTCCTCAAGATGCCTTAAAAGCCTCAGTTTGCAGGCTAACCCCTTCTGAATTTTCTTAATTTTACTTTGCTAAATTGCCCATTTTTCTTTTGCTGCAAAGAATTAAGTGCAGCTATTTGCATCCTATTTTAATGTTTTAAAAAGTTTAAATAGTGCAGATGCTATGCTTGTGGGCTCAGGTCAGGTTTCTTTGACATATTGTACACA